TATGATAATAGAATGGATGTAACCTTATCAATCGATAATAAACGATCGATTTTTGTTTGTTTGTTTTTGTGATGACCAAAGGTCAACAAATTATCAATCATTGTTAAATGGATTAAATGAGTTTAGTTTAGATGAAAGGAATATAATGGCAATATGAGAGTGTGATTCATTCAGGTGGGTGACGTCATCCATTCTGATAAATTGTTTAGTAAGCAGTTAGTTTAACAGTTGTTGAAATGAAATTTCTCTTTGAAAGAGAGAGAGAGACAGAAGTGATATGATGATATATGTATGTATGTGTGTGTGTGTGTGTGTGTGTGTGTGTGTGTGTGTGTGTGTGTGTGTGTGTGTGTGTGTGTGTGTGTGTGTGTGTGTGTGTGTGTGTGTGTGTGTATGTATGTGTGTGTATGTGTGTGTATGTATGTGTATGTGTGTATGTGTGTGTGTGTGTGTGTGTGTGTGTGTGTGTGTGTGTGTGTGTGTGTGTGTGTGTGTGTGTGTGTGTGTGTGTGTGTGTGTATGTATGTATGTGTATGTGTGTGACATGATATGATGTGTATGACAAAACTAGATATTGATTTTTGGTGAAGTGAAATGAAATGAATGAGATTGAGGGAGAGTTAAAGGGAGGAGAGAGAGGGAGGAGAGGAAAGAGAGGAGAGAGAGAGGGAGGAGGAGAAAGAGAGGAAAGAGAGGAGGTTAGTAAGCTTTTTATTCTTGAACTTCCTCCATTCATATTAGTGTCATTGCATTTGTGACAATCTTACCTATTTCAACTAACATTTCATTCGTTCCCTCTTTCTTTCTCCCTCCCTTGCTTATCAATTATCTTATCACTTTCGATTATTGCACTCTTACTTTAACACTTCTTTATCAATAGCTTCACTTGCAACAATTACTTTTGTCCTTCTTTTCTTTTTTTTCTTTGCTTCATCTTATCAGTAAATCCTTGATTATTTTAATGTTATCATCACTTCTAATCATTTGCCATTTAAACTCTTCACTATTTGTTCATCACTTATCATTTATCTCATCCTCTTCTCTCATACTTAATCACTTCTGTCACTTTTCTTCTTCTTCTTCTGCACTCGCAATTATTTCTTTTTTTTTCTCGTAATTGTTTGACTTTATTTAATTATATTGTTTTGCATAAGGTGAAGAAATGCTACTGTGAAATACTAGTTTTGCTTATCAGTTGTGTTTATCATTATCAGTTCAGTTCATTTCTTCAATTTATTGAGGTATAATAAGCTATAAATTCTTTTCCTCATCGATCGTTTTTCTTTTATGATCTAATAATAAACAATGAAATAATTCATTTTTATCCTTTAATAGTTTACTCTTTTGAAAAATGTTAATTACATCTTTATTTGTTGCTGTATCATTAGATGTCATCATAAAACACACAGACATACACAGACACACATACGCACATACATACATTCATCATGATGTCAACTAATGATACTGATGATAGGATTAGGTTGTAATTTTGTTCTCATTATAGGCTAATTTCTAGATTTTATTTTATTTTCCTATGTTATTATTATTATTTTGGATCTTTTCGTCTATAAGTATATATGTTACAATAATAGTTCTGCAAAGTGTTAACTTTTTGCTTGTGGAAGAGAAATTCATTCGTTTTGTAGTTGCTAAATTGACAGTGTTGCTGTAAGTAACGTGAAATAATAACAAGAAAGTGACGTAGATGTGCATGTGGAAAAGTTTGAATTATTGACAGTTTTTAACATTTTTCTCTGTTAAATTCCTCATTTGTTAAAATTTTTTGAAACGAAATTTTTTTTTTTCTCGAAAACTTTCTTAAAATAGCTTGACATGAAATGTGTGAAATATGAAACATTATCGTTGGAATGGAATGAACGAAAAATTAATGTTTATTTGTTAGTTTTACTTCTTCATTTCAGGTATCGAATTGGTTGGATGGTTGTACTGCCAATAACATTATGACAAAAACTATATTTGAATACATTCACTAGACATTCATAATAATCAACTAATTACTAATGAAAAAAAGTCGAAATCAAGTAATCCATGTGAAGTAAGCCGCCATTTTGTTGAATAGTTTAATTGGTGAAGCTACTTCAAGCCACTTGACAACAAGGAGGTAGAAGAGAAAGTGAAGTTTTCATGTACTATCATCTTCAGTAATTACTGTTACGTTTATCTTCTTACAGAATGCACTTGTGCAACTATGCGATTTAACGGTTTGTATATAATTTTATTTGCAACTAGTGAAAATAGCGAAATTTAGCCTTTCAAACAAACCTTAGCTAATTTTCCAGTGCGTTTGCAGTACATTCAATGTTATTGCCTTTTTCTCACATTTCATCTTTAATCTCGACTATTTTTAGAATGATGCCATTCTTTTTATTCCATGGGAAGATTTTGGATTTATTTAATTTTATTCACGATTTTATAATATTTAATTCACGAGAATGATTAAGCCTTAAAACGAGTGTTTAACAGGCGAGATAATCCCGATATAAATAATTCCGCAGGTTAGTAATGTCGATATTGTTATTGTTTATTTTGTTTTGTGTTCTTTACACTCTTAAATTTTTGTATTTTTGAGAAGAGCTAATGGTTAAAATGAAGATTTTTTCTAAGTAGATGATAGCAGTAGATGATCGCTTTACCTATCTGTACTGAAAAAGACAGAAACTGATTTGTTTCCGGTTAGTATATGCCTAGTTGCATGTAACGTATTAGATGTATGTATGTATGTGTATATATGTATGTGTGTGTATGTATATATGTATGTATGTATGTGTGTATGTATGTATATGTGTTGAAATTGATCAAAAAGCTTCCAGTAACCTTCATTTGTTTTATTTTCGGGAAGGAACAAGCTTGGAGCTCCCTATCTGTGTGTGCCCTCATTATACCACTCGCTGCAACCTATTCCGCAAAATTGTCTTATTTTTTTTTGTTATAATTAGCAAATAATGGTACTATCCGGTTGATTTTATTCCGTATCAGTTTTTACTCGCCTCCCTTCCTTCCTTCTCCTCCCTTATACAGAAGTCGCATTCTAGATGTTGCAAACGATATCACTGAATGGGAATGTAACAGGAGTAATCGTTTTGTACTTTCTAAATTTTAAAATTCTCTTCATCTTCTATAGAAGTCACAGTACCATCATATCCTATCATACAATTAAACCAATAATTTAGGATATATCTCGGTAAATGAAACTTCATGGTTAGCAATTTTGTTTATTAAAACAAATGCCTAATAAAAATGTTTTGCATTTAATAATTTTGACTGATTAAATGCAATGAGAGGATTAAAAAGAATGATAATTAAATAACTTTCTTGAAATAATTTTTGCTTTCCTGAAATTAGTTTTGCTTGGAAAAAAAGTCATGTACCTATATTAATTTATGTATGAGAGCATATTTATTATCATATTTTGTATACATAAATGTGCATGTCACTTTTTTTTGATTTATGCTTGTACGTCTGTATTTTGATTGAATTCATGCAGTATGGTTGATAAAGACGATATCATAGCTTCATTGTTAGCGTGATGATATATTTATTGGTTTTTGGTCTTGAAACTTTTAGGATTTTATGTAAAACTGACAAGTGAAATATTAAAAAAATGTTATATTAAAGAATGATTTTGTGATATTTGTCTAACGTGCTGACAGGAGAAGGCAGGTGGTGTTTCCGGTGTAATATATTAATCATTCACTGTTTTAGAATTAATGTCCTCATTCGTGACGACAAATAATTTTTCTTACACTTTCTATTCTCAATTTTTTGATGAAAAAAGAAAGTGTATTAGGATTAGTTTCTGGTTATTTGTTGTGCATTCTTTCATTTCTGATGTATGTTTATATATGCGTTTGTGTTTAATTCCGGTTATATACACCCAGTGGTGGAATGTCTAAGTTCATAAAATGTGCACTTTTGCTATAGCTATTGCCTGCCCATTTACCTGTGTAAATATGGAAAGTTGTAACTTATTACTTATCATTTGTAACTTTTTGTTTTTTAGGTTAGTCATTGTACTTTTTTCTTTACAACATTTAAATAATTTCATTTTGCTATCTTTTTGTTAATTTCTTTTTTTTTTTTTTTTTTTTTTTTTACAAAGCACGTTCTTATGTTAAAAAGAAAAGTTTTCTATATTTATTAGTAGGATATTTAATCACTTCTAGAGGATCAAATTAAACATTGGAACATTCAATTTTTATACTTCTCGGTCTGAGCAAAATAGTGTTGCTGAATTGCAGCTCACTCTTCACACTAAAAGCAAATAAAATGATCAATTTATTTGAAATAGTTTGCTCGTAGTACATGATATGCAGTGTAGCGTTTAAGGGTAAATCGATACATAATTTATCAAAAAAGGAAAGAGATAGACAAATGTTCGTTCTAACTTAATTTTTAATTTTGTAACAAACCATTCAGATTGATAACTATATTTTATGATTGGTTCTAGTATTAAAATATAGTTTGGTTACAAATAAGTTTCATAATTTATGTGAATTAAAGTGATAAGGAGAGTGTTGCTATTGATTTTGATAAAGTTTGATTAGACGTGTAAAAGATGTTTATTTTCTTGTCTTTTTTGCTTGTCTTTTAGCATTTTTACCTTTTCCTAAAACTTTGTTCCTTTTATCGAAACTTTTCGTTATTTTATGGGCTTTTTTTCATGTGTACAATATTTTAGATTCTTGCGACACATTTATTTCGATGGATTTAATGGTATGATTTGATGAGGTATCATAAGTTTCCATAAGAATGTTCATGCAAAATGCTTTTTCCAACATTCATGTCATTATTAAAAAATGCATTATACAAAATGATCGGATGCTTATGATTCATTCACCAAATTGCTTATGATTCATTTACCAAATTCAATTCTTGACTCACGCCTATGTCGTGTGATGCAAACTTGCAAAAGTCAAGAAATGACATGCTTATTGCTTCCTCATTTTGCAGTTATAATTTGTATTGTCTAATTTCAGATGGCAATAAAAAACGAAAATGATGGTAAAATGATGTTTACTGTCATATTTATTGCTTCCTCCTTACTGATTTCCACCCATTGTTTTACTGCGCTGAAACATAATTCTCTTGGTGATATTCTTAATGATGATACAATCAATGTAAGTTTTGCTTTTTTTTTTTCTAATTTTGCAAAATGATTGCTTAATAGGTGTAATTGATTGGGTTCAAATCAAAACCACTACTAGCTTCTGCGTAAGTAATGGGCTTTCATGATACTATCGTGTATTCTTAACAATATATTGACCGTATGTTCACTATCAGTGAGTAGCATACTTAAGGTCATATTTTTCGTCGTCTATGCTGGCATTGTCCTATGGTTATGACATTTGACTTCCTCAAAATCATGGCTGCTAAATACAGTCCTTAAAGTTGAAATTGATTTGAAGTTATTGTAATGTTTTATTTGGTAGTTATTTCCAGCAGTAATCGGATAAGTTATTTCACAGACTATTTTTATTTATGATGTTTATTATTTGCAGTTGAAAGATTCATCTGGTGGAGCAGGAATAAAACTTCCAGCGAAACCGGTTTTTCTGAAGAAGCATGGCATTGAAGGCCTTAATTATAATCTAGACAATAAATCTCGCCCATTCATTTACTGTGATGTAAGTTTTAAACATGTGCAAAAACAACTATTAATTCTATAGCAACAATTTAATTTTGTTAGGTTTCTCTGTTTTTTATTTTCCAGTCTAGGTATTTTCATGAAATTTCAGTCCATTATGATGTAGTTTACATACAACCATTTGGCAGAAATGTATTTTAAAAAAATTGCTCCACAAAGAAGTTTCCAGTTTTATGATGTTAGTTCGTGTGATCCAATGGAACGGAGTTGTCCGACTGTGAAAATGTGTTATGCTTCTGTAAACGATCATCGCTTAGGTTGCATGGCTGCTTTGGTAAATAACTCGTTAACACGGGTAACTTTTGTATTCATTTTTTTTCTTATCTCAGGAAATTTTCTTATACATTTTTTATTTTACATTTGTTCCATCTATCTTTGAAATTCAAAGAGAAATTTTTTGATGTTTTGGAACTTTTATTGCTTCAATGAAAACATAGAAATTTAATGATAACAGTAAATGTTTAAAACTTCAAATTGCTAATTAGATTTTTAGCTATATAAATAATAAATATAAATTACTTTTTTTTATAGCAGGTAACTTTGAAAGGGTGTTGGATGCATGATGGTAATTTGGGTAACTGCGACAATAGCCAATGTATTGCTGACGAACGACCGACTGGACATGGTAACGCTGCATTGTTCTGTTGTTGCAGCACTCACTATTGTAATCGACGTGTGCAATTTCCTCCACAACGCGTAGCCACTTGTAAGTTTACATATTATTACATACCATTTAATGTGGAGACATTAAATTATATAGGTAATCAAATGATTTACCTATTTCCAATTTTTCTACATTCATATTTGAATGAATATTTTACAACCGTCGCAATATATTTTGTTCAAGTTGTTTATCACTTCCGAATTACGGTGTTGTCATAAATAATGCATGATATAATGTTACAGGGGAGTGGATAGTTATAGGGAATTCAAATTCATTGCATTTGTATTTGATCATTTCAATATGTTATTTAAAATGCATATTTTAGTCTTTCTCGTCATATTTGATCTGTTCAACTGCTTGTGAAGGGGGAAGGGAGGGAGGGGAGGATTTCGATTATTTGATCTTGAAATAACAATTTTTCTCTTTCAGGAAACACCACTTCCATTGATCCGTTTATTAATCAGAGTTTTGGGAAAAAAAAAAATGTAGATAATAAAAAATAATAAGAAATGATAAAAAAAGAGGAAAAAGGAAAGTATAAATGATTTGAAAAAGGAAGTTTGTTTTAGCACCACCAACTACTGTAGAGCCAATGGAAATAGAAGATCCAGCATTCTTTGGTGCAGGAAGCAGAATGTTTGCTATTATCATTCTTGGTTTTTTTTCTATTTGTGCTCTGGCTTTATTTTGCTACTACAGTTATCGAGAATACAGAAACAGTCGACATTATAAAGAGAAGGTTGTAATTAATTATGCTTCTTTTTTTTTTTTTTTTTTTTATTTCTGTTTTAATGTTAACTAAGCATTGTATTGGAGTGTATTGAGTATATTGAACAAAAACTATTGCTTGCTCAAATTATTTGTTTTTTGCTTCAGGCTGCCGATGCATTTTCAATGCCCATCGTTGGTGATGCGAAACTGCCTTTGATTGGAGCCAGAAAAGATGATAACCTAAAAAATATTACTAATCTTGAGGTGCGTTTTCTTTCTTATTTTGTTTGAGCACTTTCAATTGTCTCTTGTCTAATGAAGACTGATGTACTGAATGGGTGTGATTAATATTTTGTGTACTCAAGGTATCTCAGGTTATAATAGCAGAGAAATCTTATTTTAGATGCATTGTATCTGTAAGTCTTGATTTCTTAGAATATTGTAGTACAAGTAAGAACTTTTCCAGGACAGAAATCCTGTCATTTGTTTATACTTTATGTGCTAATTGAGATTATTACGTAGATGTCTATAGATGTTCTTAAACTCTACCAGTAGTAGTTAGTGAAGAAAGATGATAAGACGAAAGGGTTTCTTCGGGATTTCTTACTTTGAGTGCTAGTATGAAAGAGTTTTTCCTGTTCTAATCTAACTGTATATCGTATGCAGTTGGTGGCTCGCGGTCGATTTGGTCAAGTATTTCGTGGTGTGCTAGAGAATGAAACTGTTGCAGTAAAAGTTTTTCCATCTGTTGATGTGAATAGTTGGATCGTTGAACAGGTTCGAGTGTCTTATTCTTTCTTCTTTTTTATGTTATTCTTTGAAACACTGTAAAATCTTTTCTTCTCAAAAATTGAAATTAATGCTAAACAAAAGTAAAAAAGAGACCTTAACTTAAATCTTTTTGCCGAAATTTCATCTCCAATTGTCTTGCAGGAAATTTACGCTATATCTTCTCTTCGAAGACATAAAAATATATTGCGGTATTTGGGTGCGGAGGTTCATGGAAATGATTTCTGGCTGATTACAGAATTCCACGATAACGGTTCACTGTTCGACTTTCTTCATGTAGGCTGAATTTTTTAATATTTCTTTAATCCTATATTTTTATTAGATTTCATTATCTTAGTTCTCAGTTGGATAACTTCTATAAATTTGTTATGCTTAATGGTCATATTTCAGTCGCTGTTTAAAAGTTATTTGGATTTTTTAATATAGCATTTAGCTTCCTTATTTTAATCTTTGTTTTTTTTTGTAAAGAATTTTTGCCATCCAATTGCTTGAAATTTGTGAACGTTTTTTCACTTCACTATTTTCCAGTTTCGCATTTTGACCCTACAAGAATCGTTGAAAGTAATAGCTTCAATGTTGAGAGGGTTGTCTTTCCTACATGAAGAAAAAATGATCGATGGCGAGCTAAAACCTTGTGTTGTGCACCGGCAAGTTTATCTTCATTTGCATGTTACCATTATAAATTGTCAAATTTGTTTTTTGTCCGCCTTTCATGATTCTTAATCCAGAAGTTTAAAAAAAATTATAGCTTCTGTCAGAACATTGAAAAATCTTTTTTTTTTTCTTTTTCCGTCTGATTTTATAAATTTATTGGGTTTCAGAGATTTTAAATCGCGAAATGTACTTTTGAAGTTTGACTTAACTTCGGTAATCGCTGATTTTGGTCTAGCGTTAAAGTGTGAAAACGGTCAAATGCCATCAGATGAGAATCATGGACAAGTGAGCAATATTATTATAAATGATCTGTTTTGCAAACAGATTTTGTAATAGTTTTTCTTTCCTTAGCTTATAGATTCACTGATATTTTTGTGAAATAGAAACTTTTGGCTATTGAATTTGCAGGTAGGAACGCGACGTTACATGTCACCGGAAGTATTAGAAGGTGCTACCGAATTTACAGCGTTTGCTTTTCGTCAGATCGATGTGTATGCTGCTGCTCTCGTTTTATGGGAAATTTTATCGCGAACATCAATGGATAAAGGTAAGCTTTAAAAGATTTATGCTATGTCGCTCTTGTTTAAAACCACTGATTGAACTTTAAAATGTGAAAAGAAAAACTGTCAGATATTCAAGCCTTTGTTGGTATTTGATTTCTACTAATAATTATTTTCGAACATTTGTCATGTGACTGAATTAATGAAATTGATTTTGTTTATTATTGGCTGGTGTATATTTCCGTTTATTTAGTCATTACATTTAAAAAACCACATCATCGTGCACCTGACAATTCTTTTGGCTTCTTTTGTTTCTAAAATCCTTCTGTTTGAAATGAATTGCACAGAGTTTCTTGTATGTCACATCATCATTGTACATGCTTGATCCTTTGATAATATTTTAGATGACATAGTTGGAGAATATGAACGACCGTATGAAGCAGAAGCTGGAGTGCAGCCAACATTGCATGATATGAGACGAGTTGTTGCTGTGGAGAAAAAACGACCAAGTATTCGTGCTGCAGTCATGGAACATAACGTTTGTTTTTTGAATTTTATCGATAAATCTAATAGAACAGGTATTCTATTCTCTCTATATAATTTCTTTCCATCTGTGCTTTTTCAACTTCACCTTAATTTTGGTCATCCAAGATTAAAATGCTTTGGTGATTTTATTCGTGCAATTTTAGATTGGTGGTGTTTTATGGAAGACTGCTGAAGATATGTGGGATATGGAACCGGATGGTCGTATCACTTCTGGCTGTGCATACGAACGTGCCAATACATTATTCATGTCTTATGCCACTAATCTAAAATTTGAGAGTTCCCTACAACCAAAAAATTTGCAAAGTTAGTTTTTTATTTTAGCTTTGAATTTCCAGTTGTCTTGCTATTTGATACCTAAAAATCGAGTTATATAACAGCTATAGCGTATTGATCATTTTTGTGACTGGTTTTTGTGGTTTTTTATGACAAAATAAGTTTTCTGCTGTTCTGGTTTCTCAGCTTTTTATTTTCATGCCAAATGTATTTAAGCAATAATTTTTCAGACAGCAATTATTGCAAGATGTTTAATAATTAGTTATAGCATGTGTGATGTATTATTTTCAGATGTTCCAGTACCCGCATATACACAAGATTGTGGAGTAGCACCTGCAGCACTACTTATCAAAGATGGTTCATTGGGTTCTAATGGCTTCCATGCTTCAATGGACGAATATGCACAAGCTTGTTCTGCACCTCCAAATGTTCGATACCTTCCAACTCTCGATACAGAAAAAGTAATTCAAGATAATATAACTCCCTTATCAAATCAAGCTCCTACGCATAGCACTTTACCGCTATCATGATGATTCGCTTCTATATGGATATATTGTATACAGTTTTCTTCCCTATTTATTGTTTATATTGCAGTGGTCGAGTTAGATGGCGTAGAGTGGTGGTTGAATTTAATCTTTGTTTTTTCTAAATCATCTAAAAAGTGTCGCTGTCAGCTTGCAAATTATAATACCTCATATCCCTAACATATTTATATATAAATATTTAATTCAGCATTTAATGCTGTATAAATTTGCGTTAGAAAAATGTAAATTTAATTTGATCTGTGTTGATATCTGTTGTTTTTGCTGCTGATGATGACACTTTCTAAAACATCAGCTGTAATTTGTTAGCACAACGCTAAACTGCAGTTCTCCTTCTACAACGGTTTTGAAATTAACGATCTGATGATCTAAAAAAAAAAAGAAAACTTATTTATTTATTTATGGTGATGATGACACTTTGAAAATACCAAAATAATTAAATGAGTAAGGAAGCTTAAACAGTTGCTTGAATGAGAAGAATTAAGTAAGAGTTTTCTCTTCCTGAGCTTTTCGAAATTCATTTGATTTAGACAATGGTTGATGAAAATGGGATAAATCCACTCTGTGTTGGTAGTAGTAGCACATATATAGTAATTGACGGATCATCAGTTGTAATATAAAATTTGTATTAACTTTATTGTTCATATATGATTTGCTTCTGTTATTATTCGGTGTACATATTGTAAACTTTATACATAATTACACTCCGCAAGCAGGTATTCTAAATATCGCTATCGTCTTTGCTTACAAAGTAATCATCCTCATGATTCAGAACGGTGAACGGTAAACTTTATCGTTTGTATATTATTTATTTAATCTATCTGTTAATGATTGTAAATTTCGACTTTGCTGTTTTGTAAATTTTTATTTTTCTCCAATTTCTTATTCTTATCTTTCAAAGTTTGCGATGAGGTATGTTTTGTAATTAGCTTTTTATAATATTGGAATCATTCCTTTACAGTTGGGCATTAACTGGAATCGATCAGTATGTTGTTTTATTCCTATACGTAGATTTTAATAGCCTGAATGGTTATTAATCTTATATTTAGACAGTGGTAGGAAGCATGAATGAATAAGAAGATTCTAACAGACTGCTATTTTTAAAAAAATGCTTGGTAGTTGTTTTAATTGTATATAGAAATATAATTAGGAAGCAATTTTGTTGAAAATTCCCTCTCTCTCTCTCTTCCTCTCTCATTTTTCCCTTGTTATAAAGTTTGTTGATTGCTTCTTCCTACATGGTTGAATTATGAAATATTTTTGGAATTTCAGTTTTTTTCTACTTGATTAATGTAAGCTCATCTTCATTCATCCATCAGTAGATGATTGTTATGGATGTAGGAGGCAAGTAAGAATATTGTAATGAATGTAAAATTTATTGCTATTTCGTTTTTAAATTAAATTTAAATGAAACTGTAGATTTGTGTGTGTTTGTTTGTTTTCTCCTCTTTTTTATTATTTTTTGTATGCTTGCCGAGTTCAGGAAAGAGGACAAGAATGAAAAAGATGTGAATAAATTTTTCTGTATCAAATTCTCCGCGAAATGTAGTAGCATTCTGTGAAGGATGTCGGTAATGCAACTATCTACATATGTAATATGGATAATGTATTACCTTAAAAAGAATCGTGTAAATACTGTGAACCGTATGAATTTCATGGTCATTTCTTCTTTTTTGTTATAAGATGGTAATGTATTTTACTACATTTCTGATTTGCTATTCGCATTGACTAATGACCTGAAGTACGTAAGCTTCTATGGTATTCGTAAAAGAAATATTGTGAAATGGATTCTGATTGTCAAGAAATTCCATGTTTTTAGTTTTCGATTGCTCTTAAGTGAAGATAATCGATAAGATGATTTATGTACGAAGACATATTACTGGGTTAAAGGTTTATTGACAAGAGGCATAAAAATTTCTTGTGTTTGACCAAGACTTCGCATATAAACTAGATTTGAATTATGTTACTGTTATAGTCTTGCAAGCAAGATGTCGGCCACAGAACAGATGGCGCAAATGCTAAACGAACTGATGGGTGTAAAACGAAATGCGGATATTGGTGATACGGATGAGCCGGATTTCGACGAACCTGATGTGTGCAAGAATTTTTTAGTTGCATTCTGTCCAAATGAAATGTTCAGGAATACGAAAGCTGATCTCGGTTTCTGTCCAAAGGTTATTCTAAATCAATCAAGCATTGAACATTCTACAATTCAAAAAAAAAAAAAAAATCCGAACATCAACACTACCAGTATCCTCGTTTATAGATTCATGATCCAGCTCTACGACTAAAATATCGTGAAAGCAGTCGTTTCGAGAAATTAGGGTATGAGGAAGAGTTTTTGAATAAAATCCGTCGTCTGGACGATGAAGTACGTCGAAAAATTGAAAAGAATGAACGTCGTCTTGCTATGACACAACCAGTTATCAAAGGTTTGTTTTCGTAAAATTTACAGCTTAAAAGTTTGCGACAAGTTTTAAAATTTGAATTTTAAAGGGACAATATTTCGAATTATCTGTTATAGATGCTTCAAAAGAAGGCGGTGAGGGTGAAACAGATGCACAACGCAGGCAAAAGGAACTTATTTCTGAGCAACAATCCAATCTGTCTGCCAAAATCAACGACTGTATGGAAAAAGTAATTTTTTCCGTCCTCTCTATCGGCAGCCGTTGACGCAGTAAAAGTGTAAAAGTAGCTCTATATATCAAAATCAGGCTTAACTTTTCATATCGATACTTTTCCGCTAACACTTAATCATTCATAATCATGAACAACAATAATACATTCAATGGTTTATTTCAAAATCTCTTTTTTCTAAAAATTTGTTTAGAATTTTATATCGAAAACGGCTGCCATTTGTTATTCTTCATGTTTGCTCTATCCATACATTCATTATTTCGTATTAGTCAATAAATTGCTCGGTTCTTTTAAAAGTGTCTTTGCATGAAACTTGTAAATTTATTCTCTGATTTTTGAATGGTAGATTCTTTGCCTTACAACCATCATTTTCTTCCATTTTTTTTCGCTCTTTGCCTCTTTTTACAAAAATTAAATACCAGTTTGCTCGCATAGCCTTCCTCTAATCGATCATCTCACTGGTGGAAGTCCATTTTTGCTGTTTCCTGCATACTGGAGGTCTTTCTAGGTGCGAAAAAGCGTTTAAAATGCCTTTAAAAAGGAATTTTTTCTTTAGGCTTCCTACACTTGTGAGCAAATTCCGTGCTTTGGAGCCAAAACGCCAAATCGTGTATACCTCAGGTTTCCCATCATATCATTTTTATTGTGTTAACGCGTTCGCTTCACTGCTAATGCTACCACTTAACATTATAGTAAACGTACTAACTGGTTTGTTTTTAATATTAAAGGCCGAAGCCTTGGGGGCACTGGGTAAAGTGGATGAAGCGAAAGAGCAAGTACGACAAGCAGATAAATTCAAGCAAGAGCGTGCAGCTTTGGATCGTTTGCTGGCACAGTCGGCGAATCCTACAAGCCATATTGAAGATCTCGCTAATCAGCTTTCAAAACCAATGGAAGTTTGCCAGGTTGTTTCCGCTGTTTCGTAAAAGCTGTTTTACATTTGACATTTGATGCCGTATCTTTCTACGGTCATAATGTTTAAGTTGGAGAGATTAATTTTTTCGAGAAATTTATTAAGAACAGTAAGAGAGAAATAGAAGTGGTATCACTCTTTCTAATGTTGTGCAGAAACTAAGATTTTACAAAATTTATTTTGAAAATAAAATTTATTCAAGGTTTGTGGATGTTTTATGCTTGTAAATGATGTGCAACAACGAATAGATGACCATTATGCCGGTAAACAGCATATGGCATATGCAAGGATTCGGGCGACAATCGAAGAAATGGATCGAAAACGGGAAGAAAAACGAAAGGTTTGCCACAAAAGGAAATTTTGCAGGAAATTATCTGAAATGATTGGTAGGAATAGTGGTGGTTAATGTCTTCATTTTTCCTGCTTGTATTTATGTAGAATTGGGTTCTGTGATGATACCCTATTTGTGTTTCTAACTCCATTACGGTCTATTTGAAAAAATTAGTTTTAACTTTTGAGATCAGATAATATTATAATTATATTACTATGCAAATTTTGTTAGTGCTAAATTTTTCTGTAATTTATCACTAATTTAGGGAAAGATAGAGCGTGAAGACAAGGAAAGGAAAGATCGTGAGAGGAAAGAACGAGATGACAGGGAACGACGGAATGAAAGAGATCGAGAAAGAGAGAGGGATCGTGACAGGGAGAGAGATAGAGATAAGGATCGAGATCGAAGACGGGATGACAGAGATCGTGGGTATGTCTGTCATCATTTTTTGGTGCCTTTAATTTAAAATGTTCCATTTTTCCGTTACAGTATGCATTTCTTTTTTTCAAAAGGCATGATATACAGGGTACTAAACTTTCTTTGTAAGGTCTAAAATAACAAAATACGGCGAAATCATATTAGATAAAGATCAAAATAACCATTCTAGTAATGATATAATTACAGGCATCGACATCGTTCCCCACGTACACGGCGAGATGATGATCGACGCTACGACCGTCATTCAGATCGACATCGAGATAGAAGAGACGATCGGGATCGGCATAGAGTAACCTTTTGCTAACTTTTATATTTTAGGATATAACAAATCTTGATTGGTGTTCAAAATACTAAGTTTAACGCTATATTATGCAGTGAACATATGTGATATGCATCCGAAAAAAAATGAGGTTTTTAATACATTATACTAGAATTTTTTGCTGTTTACAAAGTTCTCAAATACTTTGAGATTGGAAGGACTTCTCAAAAGTCGAACAGTACATAATGAGAAATGCTTTCATAATTTTCCCGGTATGGGTAGGTAAAATTATAGCAGAGAAAAATATCTGAGCTATCGTATGGCGTCCAGTTGATTGGTCTTAAATCTTCAGAATTGTAAACATTTTCAGCGATGAAAATGGACACGTGTAGAGGGATATAGAGGGATGCATCCGATAAGAAGGATGAAACAATACTACAATGCTACTATTTCTCTTCGGTATTTGAAATGCTTATTTGGCTTTCTTGCTGACATCTTATAGCTATGCGTGTATCAATGTTTTATAATTGCTATAACAAAATTGTTGTTTTTGATATCTACAAAGCGAATGTTTCGTTTGTTCTTGTCTGATTTGGAGGATCGTACTTGTATTTCCGTATTCTCTCCAATCATCCGAACTGTTAAATACGTTTGTTACTTTTTTCTTCTAACGAATTGAAAGTATTTTTTGTTATCTATAACATAATGTTTGTCAACTCTTATCGTTTTTTTTTTTTTGTACATCTGAATAAAAATGGAAAGATTATTTTCCGTAATTCGGAAGAACATGTAGGAAAAGCACACATGGATTGAGATTAGTATTTATGTTGACTTTGAAGTTGTTTATTTTTTTTTAATGTTTGAGTCAAGTCTGTGGGAATCTATAATGAATTTCTTTTTAACTCAATCTTTTTCGCTTTTCACTCTTTCAGTAGTGAATGACCTCTCAATTACTTGCCGTTATTGAAAGATTAAATGAGATTTATCGTTTTAAAATATGAACTATCCTTTGCGAAATTGACAGCATAATTATTTCTGTTATCTGTACTGAATAATAATCTGAAATGTTTTGCATGCAGAAAAAAAGTGATTTTGTTCCTGGTTCTTATTGAGTTTACATGCTACATAAATGTTTCTTCTCAAAAGTGGTTGTGTTGCAGGTTGAACACCGGTTTTCATCAAGCCAGTCGAAGTCCTTTTTCAAGGGATAATTGTTATCAGCTTCAATCATTCGAGGGAAAATTCGGTTATTCTATTGGGAGGGGAATTGATTTTTCTCATATTATTAGTAGATTGCGGATACTGTTGTGTGAAAATGTTGGAGCAAACACCTGAAATTTGTTATAAGAGTTGAAAAACTAAAATATGAAGAAACAAAATTAATAAAGCCTTATATTACTGTGTGATTTTAAGAGGATTTTTTTTATCATGATCGAGTTTACTGTTGTAATACTTGTCAATTTAATCATACTTCTAATCATTGGGCAATTATCTTTTATGAATTTCAGGTGTTTGCCCCATGCATTATTTAATGCATATGCCTTACTAGTTGTCTGATTCTGTCAGTTGACTTTCAAAAATTTTTACTTTTGAAGTTTCAACTAAAAATTTCCTTTTTTTGTTATCGATGGTGCTGGTATTATTACAGCGTTTGGAGAACGATGGTAGTAATTGCATATTTATGAAACCGGCAGTCTAATACTTTTGAGGTTGAAAAGCGCCATTAATTTTTAATGATTTTTCTACTGAAATAATGACACAGCCTGGCGATATATTTGTGGAATCGTCTCAAATTGAAGAAACACCACAAAGTGACCATGTTAGTTAGCTGCATAATTTTATTGTTTATCATATTTTCATCCTAAATAGTTTATTATCGTAATTCCTCATGGTGATTAATAAGGAAAACAAAGAAAAAGAAAAGTGTCTCTTATATTCTATAATATAATTATATTTTAAAGGTGCGAATATTGGTTGCTACCGATTTACATATAGGATTTGCGGAGAAAATTTTGGGTCGTAATGAAGACTCGATAAGAACGTTTGAAGAAGTTCTACAAATTGCTAGCAGAGAAGAAGTTGATTTTGTCTTACTGGGTATCTTTGACCTTTTAGTTTTAGTTTGATTTGCAAATTCTTTGCATAAGATGTAGAAGATATTAAATTGTAAAGTTTTACTTAGCAATCTTGTGATATACGACCATTAAGTAATCTTACTGTGATGAGTAAGGACCAAACAATACTAAGATATTACAAAAATTTCAGCATGTTAGACTTATGATGAACTAAGACCAGATGCTCCGATCCACTAATATTTAAGTCAAAAGACGATTAAAACTGACCACTTTTTTGTTGAGCTGTAATGAAGTCGATTTTAGGAGGTGACCTGTACCATGAAAATAATCCATCTCGTGAAATGCAACACCGCGTAACACGATTACTTCGTCAATATTGCCTGAACGATCGTCCGGTAGCTCTACGCTTTCTAAGTGATCCCGCTGTAAATTTTGCTCACAGTGCTTTCAGTAATGTAAATTACGAGGTATTACTATTTTCAAATTATGCTCATTTTCTGATATATTTACTGACATCTCATAGTTTTCATCTTATCGACGCTAATTATTTTCTGGTTATTATTGTTTTATAATGATATATACCAGAAAATTACACGTGCTAAAAAATATGTCTGTAAGAATAATGTAGTAATTTTGTTATGTGAAATTTTTTTTTTTCTTTTATGCATTTTAGGATAAGAACATTAACGTTGGTTTACCGATATTCACAATACACGGAAACCATGATGATCTTACTGGAAAGGTTAGAATTAAAAATGATAATTTAATTTATTTTATTCTGTCTAATAGCTCACGAGATGCTCTTGATTTCCTAGCATATGTATCTTGAGCTAGTCACCGAACGTTAAGTTGTTAATGACACTCACCGATATGGAATTGGTCTGGAGATATTTAAATCGTTTAGAGTAATTTGAATTTTAATGCAAGTGAATTTAAAGGGTCTAACTGCACTGGACGTGTTACACGAATCAGGCCTTCTCAACTTATTTGGTAAATTTGAAGAAATTGATCAGTTTGTTGTTTCACCGGTACTTTTGATGAAAGGAAAAACGAAATTAGCACTGTATGGTATTGGCAGTCAGCGGGATGATCGCTTGTGTAGAGCATTCAGAGGTTTCATTTAAAATCTCATGTATCATTTTTCTGACGCTCATTAGATGTTTTCTTAAAATCATCTTAATTTTCAGTTTCCAAAATAGATGAGTTGTTATTTGGATTATGGAGTATCAAGTTCATTTTGTGTATTTCTATTTTTGAATAAAGATAAGTGTAACTAACAGCGATCTAGTGTTCGATATTAAATTACATCCCGTAAATTCTGGAATATTGTTTAGAAGAGGAAATTCGATTTCTACGCCCAAAAGAAGATGCAGAGTCATGGTTCAATATACTTGTTTTACATCAAAATCGACCGGTGCGAACACGTGAACGATCAACAGGCGGACATTTACCTGAAAATTTTATTCCTTCATTTTTTGATCTCATTATTTGGGGGCATGAGCATGAATGTAAAATTGGTAAGTTGTTTAAATTCATTTCAGTTACAAGCTATTGTCTTGTGAAATCATTTTTACATATTCATTGGGTGATTGTGAATGTAAGCGATTAAAGTTCTCAAAAATATTGTCATATTTTTGGCGATAGTAACTTGAAACATAAAATTACTTATTGTATTCGTTTAATTCTTTACGCTAATGTTGGTTACTATGTACGCAATATGATAATTTTTGTAGATCCACAGTATTATGAAAGTGGCGTCAATGTCTTCGGTGATGGTAAGAATTAATAAATTTGTTTGGACTTTTAGTTTTTCAAATTACGTTTTTTCATCTTTAGTATTATGATTCCAGGTTTCTATATAATACAGCCAGGTAGTACTGTGGCTACAGCACTTTCACCGGAGGAAGCCAAACCGAAGCATATTGCTCTTGTAACAATTAGTGGACGTAAATTCTTTTCTCAAAAAATAGCTCTAGAAACACCTCGACAAGTGCTTTTTGCTGACTTAGCAATTGCTGTTAAGCCACCCTTAACTGCTTCAAAAAGTAGCCGATCAAAAAATATGCCTGTTCGTTTATTTTGCTTTTATTTGTAAATTGTATAGTTTAAAAGACATTTCTTCGTATTTTCATTTTTTCTAATGATATTTGTGCTTTGAATGAATTTGCTGTTGAAATTTTGAGGACGAAAAAGTGATAGTGGAAGAAGTTGAGAAAATGTTGGCAGAAGCTGAGAAGACAAAAACAGCTAGGCAAGCTTATCCTCCGTTATTACGCCTTAGAGTAATCTATCCAGAATCATGGGCTGATATTATGGTGAGCTATTTGGAAGATTATTGATCTAATAACTTTGAAGAGTTGGTTATCTACATTAAAGATTTGTCGTGTTTTTCTTACGAAATGATCTACCACTTTAGAAATTAAATTGTCGACAGTTTGGTGCTGCATATGCGAAGCGAGTAGCAAATCCATCAGATATGATAACTGTTAGAGTAATGAAATCAAAAAAAGAAGACAAGAAAAGAGAAGGTGGTTTCAAGACTTTCACAAATGTAGAAAGAGCAGCAACGGTTGAGGAAATTGTAAGGCTTCTTTTCGAATAAGTAATTAAGGAATGGAGACTACTGCCCATTGCAAATCTTCGGTTTTACCTGAGACTGATAAACATTATTGTGCCTATGAAACATCGGTGATTTTACTGTAAGCAATATGCTTTAGAATGCTTTGCATATTTCTATTATTAAGCGATTTTATCATCCAAGTTTTTTCGGAGATATAATTTTGCTGATTTCGAGGATATAGCATAATTGTATTATATTTTATTATTAATAAGATCCTTCCCACCTCTCACTTTCAACGTTATATTTATAACAGGTTTTAACTGCTTGTCCTTTCATGCGATTATATCCTTCGAATATTTACATGGATTCTGAAGGAGAAATGTTCCATTAAAATTTTTTGCAAAAGTATATTTCAGGTCAGCACTCATCTTGCTGAACAGGATAATGATACACTGATGGTACTCGATGTTGAAACATTGAACGATATTGTAAAATTTCAAGTTGAACAGGAAGATGGAAAACGAGTGAAAAATAAGCCGCTTATTGAAAATTTACATATTAAAAAAAAGAAGTTGATTGATGCTCTTTGTAAAGTTTCATACGACGACTTTCTTTCCTTCAATAAAATTGTAAGTATTGTCGGTAATTTGTTACTTTTGAATTAAATAACGTTTCAGAAATGAAACTGCTCGAATTTCATGTTTAAAATGATTAACATTTCTGAAGTGAATCGAAGATCCTATTTTATGCATTGTTGCAATTATTATCCTTCGTTTATTTTTGCAGCCAAGTCATCAGTTTTTGGAGCAGTTTGAGAAATTAATAAATTCGGATATCAAAAAGATTCGGGATGTTAATATTCAAGAACTGAGAAGTACGAAGTGATAGTAAACGATGTATTTATTACTTTGTTATTAAGAATTAATGCCGAATGTGTATGGGTATATTTGGTAATAAATCTTTTATTTAGAATTTTCAAGTGTTGTATTTATCAGTGTAGTTTGTTGCATATTTGATGAAATATTTGATTGATTTCCCAAAAAATTGGATTGATTGCTTTATTAGAATAAAAGTTCCATATTGTTTTACTTTTTTAACAAAAGGGAAGGTCATTTTGTAAGGGAAAAATTGTGAATGCTATTGTAATCATTTTAGAATGCTCTTTTTTTTTCACCTTACTGACTATGTACAATCTTGTCAACTATTTAAAACTATGCACGCACTGAACATGGAAGCTAAAATATATTAGTGAAGTATTCAGGTGCGAATTCTTGAGTTTTGCGATTTTGGGGTCGCTCAAGCAAGAGGGGCAGGTTGCTTGTTATAGGTGAGAATTTACAGGAAACACCGATGCATTTGGGGAAGGAAAGTCATCGTCAAAATGTAATAATCGATTTGCAAGAACAAATTGATTCCATTGCTCCAAACAGATATTTTACACGAGTAGCGGCTGCTGGCAGTAAAGGATGTTTGTTTTCTTTTCTTCTTCAGTTTAATTTTCATTTGATTATACTGTATTGAATATTTGATGAAATATCACTTCTGTTATGTCTTGCTATAACAGCGTAGAAAGAAAATATTCCAAACATTTATGATATTTTAGTGTTGAAAATTTTTGCAATCGAAGAGAATGGATTCAATTTTGTTGCTAATTTTCGTTCAGTGCGCAGTCGGCGGTTGAATTTGATGTATTCAGCAAGTCATGTTGCATGGAGTCATATAATCGGTTTATCCCATTCATTTCTGGCCGAAAATACAATTTTTTAAATTATACAACAGAATAGGGAAAGTGGTGAATGGTGACTTCCTGCTGCTTAATTTTAAATTTCAACAATTACAAATACCTCCTTTTTTCCAATTTTGAAATTAACTTATTTTAGAATATTAAGTCCTTTTTTAAAGATATTTTTTTTAGATAATATGATAGCTACAACGTCAACCAATGGAGCTGTAGTCCTATGGAATGTCGATAAGGCTGCTTTGCGTATCATTTCTTGCCCTATTTCTTGATTTAATAAGTGAAGTAGTGTAAAAGGGCTTGATTTTGAAGAGTACGAGTAAATTTTAAATATTATTTTTTTGGAAAATAGTTACGACACTTTTTATATAACTTCAGTGATGAATACTTGTAGACCGTACCTACAAGGCGCATACTCGTTCAGCGACCAAAGTATGTTTTCATCAGACTGATCAGAATACATTGATCAGTGGAGCGAAAGATGCAGCAGTTATTCAGTATGATTTTCGAGTACCGGAACCAGTTAAAAAATTTATGTAAGTCGTTGAACTGTTACTCTCTAGTAACAGTGCGCTAATTTTACTACTATAAACCCGCTTTCATAATGGTATTTTGTTACTGGACACCATTGCATAAGTACCAGGTTGCTTAATAGAATTTATGATATTTTTTATTGTTTGATTATTATGTAAAATCCAAGAGATTATTAATAACATTAATTTGTTAAGTTTTAAAAGATTTGGAAGAACATTCATGATTTCGCTGCCATATGATTCACTTTAAATTAAATCTTAATTAATTAGTTTTCAGGAGCGGTTCATGTGATCCTGTCCGTGATATGCAATTCGGTATCCACCCTAGCCATTACGATATATTTGTAGCTGCAGATGATGGCGGTTCTGTGCGTTTTTGGGATTTGCGTAAAAATGACCGACCACTATATCAGTTTGTGGCACATCATGGACCATCTAGTGTTGCACTGAATCCAAGTTATGATGATCAGAATCTGATTGCTACAGCCGGCAGAGATAAATTTATAAGGGTATGATCTTCTATAAAGAAGAAGAGTTCATTTTTGAATAAATAAAATTCTGAACTAAATATATTTGCATAAGTTGATAGATACATTTCGAGAATTATTCATAAAATTCAAGGTCTGGAAATGGTTCGATCGTTCTGAAAGTCAATTAAATTCATCTATGTATTCGGTAGAAGCTACAGCATCTGTTTCTCGTGTCTACTGGAGACCAATGCATAAGTACCAGGTTGTTTAATAGAATTTATGATATTTTTTATCGTTTGATTATTATGTAAAATCTAAGAGATTATTAATAACATTAATTTGGTAATACTAGATGTGGTCATCAGATAACTTTTAGGTAGCCAGCTGTTCTGTAGTAAGCGATATAAACATACATGTTTGGGATATACGAAGGCCATTCTTGCCTTTTGCTAGTTTTGATGAGCATCGTGATATATGCTCTGGTATGTTTTTAAAGCTTCCCATCATGAATTACATTGCTTTTGTTCATCATTTTTTACAGCTGATGAAGAAGTATTCAGACATGCAATTTTCTAGATTTGGCTTGGAAAGAGGATGATTCAGAAATATTTCTATCGGCCGGCAAAGATGGCTTATTGGTAATGCATTTTGTAGAAAATGCTCATCATCCAATGAATCACGTAAGTGACGTCGCAGTTGACATATCACCTGCTGGTACTGTAGCTGTTGCAGGTAATAATTCCTCAAATGTGTATGTTTTTTTTTTTTTGCCAAAAATATTACAAAAAATAGCAATACCTTTAGAGTTGCAAGCATCATTTTACATTCCGGAAATCTAGAATATTACTTTTGTCCGACTGAGGTGACGAGAAGTAGGCAATATATTTGAATTCAGTGAGTTTTATAGAAACGAAAAGAAAAAAGAATGAAATATTCTTAAATGAATTGGTAGAAAACAATTAAAAAAAAAACCAACAGATCATTTTTAATTACCTTTTTCATAAGATAGTTTTTCATACTAGTTTTAAAGCTTAAAATCAGAAGTTGAGGTGGCACGATAGGTTGCATTATTCGTTGAGTAATTTCGCAACATTTCAGTAAGCAGTCAACTGAATTTAAAAAACGAATCACTAGTTGAGCGAGAGAAGGTGCGCAAAGGAGAAGCATTTGCACCAAAGAGACGGAAGTATGATCCGTTCCAATCGAGCATTCCCAGTTATTTGATTTGTTGTGAACCAACTGAAACAAATGTTCAGGTTTCACCGCAGCACTTTGTTACTTTAGCTAAAAAGTTAGTTGGTTTCAAAGTCAAGTTTTTTCTGTACATTTTGCTTTCCAGCATTTTTAAAAAAAAAAAATTCTCTTTACTTTGTTTAAACAATTCACAGCTAGTAATGATTATATTCGCCACATCATACATTTTTCTTTTTTGATCTTTGAAATTTGCAACTTTGCGATTAATCCTGTCTGTGTTCTATGGCAATCATACTTGTGCATTTGTTTAGATACAAACTATATGGTGAGGACGCCTCATCATTATGTTTTCACAACAGTCGTATAGCTGAAGATATAAAGAAATATGATATTGCTCATACGTGGCGTATTGTCGGTCTTATCTGTACATTTACTTCATTTTTTGAAACACCATCAAGTGGGGAAACTTTTTCCGGTAATCATGAAAATACAGATAGTAAGTGCTGATAAAATATTCGGGAATGAGAGCTGCATTATGTATTTATTGTTTTGAAAGCAATTTTTCTGTTTTTCGGGGTTTTGATTTCAAAAAGACAGCAAACGAAAGAATTTCATTAGATCTTAGACTTAAGCAAAGTTTTGTTAAGCTAAAGATAATGGCGCTAATGTGAGCGATGCGGCAGCACGTTCTCGTTTTCCGTCAAGTTTGTCATCCGGTGGAGTGGTACGAAACGTGGATGGCCAGGATGTCACAGAATCGATATTTTCTGGCGTAGTTCCACAAATGGCCTCTTTTTCATCAGATTTCTTTTTTGGTGATAATGAACTGAATCTTGATGGACTGAATACTGATCTTTCCGATTGCACACTTTCATAGTTAGTAATTAAGCTTTAAAAAAAATTCCTCCACACTTTTTATTATTTACTTTTAACTGTAATTAAATAATCTTAAGCATCTAATGTTTCATTAAGGAAACGAGATCCTTGTAAATATTATCAGTTATGTTTCTAGTTTTACGGAATAAATTGTAGTTCTCTGAAATGATTTCTTTGTAGTGATTTCAAAGCTCCAACAAATCTGAAAATGGAAGCTTTTTCACCTCGACCTTATGAAGAATTTGAAGCAGGTGAAACGAGTTGCTCTCCGAGTTCCGAGGAACATCTTGATGACAGAATGCCAAATCACACAAGCGAACTGAAACGATGTCAGATTGGTACCTTTTATTTGCGTTGATGCTTTTTCTTTCATGGTTCTTAATTATAAAGTGATACAAAAGATTGACATGTGAATTATAGATGTTTAGAAAAAGTGTTTATTTCCACTGAAAAGTTTACTATAACTTGTTGACTTGTAAGATTTATTTATAAGAACTGTAAGACTTAATAACTCATCTTATTTCTTATTATAAAATACTGTTGCTACCATTATGCGGGAATAACAATTGTATATAGTTACTTATCAAGATGAAAAAGAAATCAGCTATCGAAATTACTGAAATAACTGGAGCATCCGAAAATAATATATACTAACATTACGAAATTTCCAACAATCGAATTAAAATGAATTTTAGTGTTATTTCTTTCTTTTTTTTTTGAGGAAATTTGAGAATCAAAGCGGAACTTGCCCGTACTCCTTCATGGGATCCACTTCCGTTATTATGTTCAATGTTCAATTTTTACTCCGATTTGGTAAATTCTCAATTACATTTTATCGCAAATTTGGTTTAACCTTTCAGTAATCTAAGTATATTGAACTCTCATTTAGCTTATATGCATCAGTTATAGAATATGACATGCTCCGTAGTTAAGTTTGTGTGTTGCGTTATAAGAATGTCAGTCTAATTCTCAATCGACTTTAATATTTCATAATAGATATAATACAATTATAAAATATAATTTATACATCGTAATATTAATACGATATGTGAAATGGGAAGCAATTTCAGTGCGAAAACGATGTACTGTATTATTATTATTGTAGGGTGATGTACAAACATGCGTATCTGTACTGTTAGTATTGGGGGAAAAATCGAAGGAATTCATCGATTTAGGTACCCAGAAGCTTTGGTTCTTGGATTATATTGGTAAGTACAGCATTTGAAAATTTTTTTTTACTGTCATTAATAACTTACACGTATGATGTTGTTTATGTTAGTATTAATGTAGGTATAAGACACTCGTTTCGAGAAAATTTTTGTTGTGTATGAGAGAAATGAAGGTATATAAATAATGACGGCTATGAAAGTACGCTTCTTATTTCTGGAATTTGCTCGAAATTAAAGAAAACGATAATTAGATCCAAAATTATTGTATTTTCTGGAACGATTAGTTTAAGATTTTTAATAATTTTCTCCTGATCTAAGTAGGGGAAAGTAAATAAGCGCTATGATTGAGATGATAAAATGTACTCTATAGATATGCTTGAATGCTATGAATTGTGGAATACAGCCGCAGAAGTGATTAAATTATGTTGGATTGCAGCTGTTAATAATCTGAGCAACGAGGTATTTGTTGAGTGTTTTAAGCTAAGAGAATTTCTTGTCCCATCACCCTGCATTAAAGAAATTATTTTCTCTTAAATCAGTGCGTATTGAAAATAACTGAAGTCATTTATTTTTGATTTTGGTCTTGTTCTGGCTTACCAATTTTTTTAAAATAAGTTTTTCAGAGTACTTCGATCAAGTTGCTGTGTGCCAAATGCAAGACAGTATCTGTCACATCGTCACCGTATTGCAAGAAATGTCTTAAAAAATTCAATTTCAACTGTTCGCTTTGGTACTGTTTTTTGTTTCCCGTATTTTCCAGGATATTTAAACTAGCACCGTCGGAATTCGCTTTCATGAGGATGGTAAAGAGAATCGATTAATGCAGTTGAAGTTATGGGTTATGTTTAACAGCGCATATTTCAGTTCTTTGCCAGTTCACGGCATTTGGAGTTGGTGTCGTGGATGTACACATGGTGGTCATCCTCATCATTACGCAGAATGGTTTGCTTCAAACAAAAAATGCCCAACTGGATGTGGTCATTCCTGTGTTTAATAACTTGCACCTTTCAGTGTCCTTTTTTTACATTAACAAAGATGCTCAATTTAAGGATATATTTCATACCTAATCAGTCTTGATATTATATGATGATTGAATTATGATATTGTTTCTTTTTATGTTTAGCTCACATATAATGCAATAGTTTAGGTTAGGCATTAACTTTCTTTTTAAATCGTCATCATTGCATTTCTAAGTGTCCTCTAACAATGACAAAAAAAAGCTCTCTACATCTATTTGCATATTGTATCTATATTGATATGAAGCTCACTTTCCTAAACAATATCATTCTTAATGGGTGCTCTGCAGAGATTCCATAATTCTATTTCTTGTTGTACAACTGTTGAAAGCTTGGAATATAATTGACTAAAGTTATCAATATATTATTGTTTGTTCTTTTATTCAATTTCTGTCATATAATTTGTAATTGGATGTATAGCCATAGGTGAATTAAACTGAATTATGTTAAATTAAATTACAGTAAATTTAACTTTCGTACAGTGTAATAAGTTGAAAAATACTTAAAAAATATCAGTTGATAAATAATTCGAAGATATACTAAAAATGTTATTACAACATTCAATTGTTCAGTACAATACATTTTCAATGGTAACAAATACTTCACAAACATAGTCGTATGTATATTTCATAAATGTTAAAATTCTTGAAATTTTTTTTAACAAATTTAAAGAAAGAAAAAAGATGTTAGGATCGTTGGATGCTACAAAGCGAATTCTGAAATGTTTCACATTAATCAAGTATCAACAACACTTCTGGATGTTTTGCCTACGAAATAATATATTCCGTGTACAAGCGACACGAAGAAAACGAAAATTACATTCTATATTAATGTTTTGTGGTGGTTTGTTAAGCAAACCGATCATAAAAAATGTCCATTGTAAGGATCAACTGGTGAGTGTTAATCATTGGAAGTTTTTAGTAGTATTTTGAATGTAATTAAGGGATATTATTATAAATGGCCGATGATACTATTATAGCACTTAGATTATTCCAACAATTTCCTAATGACATGATTTTAAGCTTGTCGAAGTTTTTTAGTTGCTTTTTGCTATTCATTTTTTCTTAACATCTTAATGATTCCATTTAATGGATCAGTTAATCTATTTGTTAGGAATTAATCTTTAATTTCAAAGTTATATAATGAATCAGATTCCAGCAAAATTTTATAAGTGTATAGCGGATTCAGTATAAAATGATTTTCCGTAAAATTGGATTAATATAGTACCATATTAGTAGTAGCAGTTATCTAATTTAATTTGTTAGATTTATAAATATAGGTGAAAATAGTAAAGGAAGAGAATCCATGGCTGGTTACTTCATCGCCTATTGAAGCAATATCAAACGATCATGGCTGTCTTGGTATACGTATGGTTATATATTTGTATAGAACAACTCTACGTGTAATCAAAATAATTCTAAGGTTTCGCTTATCTTTTATCATGAGAAGATTCAAAAATGAATCATTCATTATTTGTAAAATAGTTTCTGTTATATTTGTTTTCATTTCGTTTTCATTTAATTTATCGTTATCATTTAATTCTAACTTGTTTTGAATACTTGAATGCGGAGTGTTTTTTGATTAGATTTACCATATTATAACAAAAAGAATAAATGATAATTATTAATCGAGAAGTCTTTTATTTTTTTGATGATAAATAGTGAAAATTCATTAATAGAATTAATATCGCTTAGCACTGCTGGAAAGATTGAACTCATATTTTGTTCAGTTCAATCTTTATTGGTCTTTATAGTGCATCAGGCATTAAGTGATGCGCCTTTAAGTTTGTTATGATCTCTCATAGTTGATAAAAATATGTACTTTATATTCTAATTGAACTAATTGAAGAAGGGAAGTAAGCTTACCACTTATTCCTGTCAGGAATAGCTGTCAGGAATTACTTTCTTATCAGATGTTGTCTTTTCAGGATAGTATCTTTATCATTATTCTTCACTCCATTGTTGATTACTTCTCCAATTGCGTATTTTTGGAGTGGTTTTGGAGAACTGTGGTGGAGATGGCTGTTGTGGATGGTGCAGCGAAGTGGTCCGACTTTTATCAAATTAGGTCAATGGGCAAGTACGCGGCGTGATATCTTTACAAAGAGTTTTTGTGACAGAGTAAGTTATTATAGGAAATATTTCATATCACAGGAGAAAATAAATTTCCATTTTAGCTCTTTCTCAGTTCTCAGAATAAATCTGTTTGCTAATGTTTACTTTGATCATCGTAAAATGTAACAATATTTCATCTATGAAGATGTCAGTTCTGCACACAAAGACGACAAGTCGTCCATGGTATCGTTCTCAGCATGCACTCGATCAGTTATTTGGTGATTCTCGGTGGAAAGATTTCGTTGTATCAGTAGAAACTGATCCTATTGGTTCCGGATGTATTGCTGAGGTATGAAAACAATTAATTATATATTTGCTAAGAAAATAATCGCATAATTAAGCGCCAGGGAGAAAGAAAGGAAAGAAAAACGGGAACGAAAGAAAGTTGATATTAAATTTGAGACAAATTTTAAAGATAGTTAGGTTTAGAGATAGTTAGCTTATACTTCGCTTACTATGCAATAGTTTAATTGTATCCAAGACTAACAGATATTTAACTGCATCAGGAAGTTTAAGTATTCTAGTTCTCATCAATGCATTACCGCATATGAGATACTTTTAGGACACTGGAAAACAAAATTTTGCGTTATGACATTTGTGACATCTTTTTCTGATTGTGATTGAAGTGGCATTGAGTTCAGTAATTGTACTAATGGCCCTTCAATTTACATTTCTCTTGAATTTCATTTTTTCAGGTGTATAAAGGTATCCTTGATGTATGGGCTTTCCAGGAGACTACAGGTATTCATTTACCGTTTACGAAGGACCGACATGTTGAAATCGCCATAAAAGTAAGTATTCTAATTTGAAAACACCTGTTTGAATTTCCTTAAGCGACAGGCACATTATTCATTCCTGAAATTATTTCGATTAGACTGCAAAAGATGGAATCCGGGAAAGCATTGATATTGATCTGTCAATAATGCAATGTGCTGTCCGTTTAATAGAAATCATTATGCCTCGACTATCATATATAAATCCGGTATCTTGTTTAAATCAGTTCAGAGAAGTGCTTGAGTTACAAGTGGATTTGAGAAACGAAGCAAGAGCTTTAAAAGCAAGTTTTTTTTTTATTATTGAAACCAGTCAATGTAAAAACATTTGTTAACAAATTCATATTCTCGAATATTTTTTGTTAGTCTGACATCATATATTTCTTGAGAGATGTTTCCTACAAGAATACGATAGTCGTTATATAGTTCATTTGTAGTTAACTCTTCTAAAGTTTCCTGCTTCTGCAAACTTAATTAAAAATCTTCATTTGGTTCATTTGCAGAGGTTTGGTGATAATTTCGATCCTAAAAAAACAAGGGTACGATTTCCTGAAGTCATATGTTATTCTAAAGATGTCATCATGGAAACATTTGAAAGTGGGCTGTATATCAATAAATTAGTTACCGATGAACAAATGGTAAATGAACAGCTCATATATACTACTTTTTCCCATTTCCAGAATGAATCTAGTCGCATAAGATAAACAGTACTTTTGTGAATTAAAAAACCGCTCAAATCAAATTGTCATCATTTGCAGATGAAGCAAAATGAATTGAAGAAGAAAGTTGCACTGATTGGAGTTAGAGCATTGTTGAAAATGATTTTTGTGGATAATTTCGTGCATGGCGATCTTCATCCTGGGAATATACTTTTAAGGTTTATTTATACAGACTTGCTCTAAACAGTATGGAAGGATTAAAATAAACCCACTTTAAATCATTTTACCAAATTCATGCCTTTAAAACTGTTTAGGTTTGATAACGATGATTATCGGTCAACCAAATGGTTTAATTTTTTTCGAATTTCTATTGACAGATTGGTTTGTTTGTTTCATTTCGTTCTCACATATCTAGTTTTGCATTTGGGAGCAAATAAGACATCTTTTGAGATCTGTCAGACATATTATGTTTATTTTATTTTCAGAAAGAAATACTAAACAGTTTTGTTAGTATGAAAGATGGTATCCGAATTTCATATGACGATTGCGATCTTGATGAGTCTGGCGAACCCATGTTGGTTATATTAGATACAGGCATTGCTCTTGAAGAAACACAAGAGAATTTGCAGAAACTTCGCCTTCTTTTTCGAGCAGTTGTTGACAAAAGAGTTAGTAAATCTAATAATTATTAGATTATATTTGATATTATGAAGAACACAGGTAAAGTACTATTAATGTTGATCTTTCTTATTGTTAAATCTGCCGGCACTGTTAATCATTCCCTTATAATGATACTTTAAATTTTACTCGTTTTTTTGGTAGATGACTACCTCTACCTTAATTAAAATACCTGAACTGGAATAAAAATAAAACAGTTCATCATTAAATCGTTGTTTAACTTATCGATAAAATAAAGAAAACTTTATGTGTACTTCTAAGCATCGAAATAAAAAAAATTTGATGTATGTGAGCTGAAATAATTTAAGGTAGAAGATATGTGGATTGCAGGGTCGTGATGTTGGTGAATTATTACTGCTACATTCCCCAAAGCAGCATTGCAAAAATCCGCAACAATTTTATGCTGAAGTGGATCAAATCGTTCAAATAGCACGTTCCAAAAACAATTTGAGAAGGGTATGCTATTTGTTAAGTCTATCACGGTCATCTATTTCCTTAGTATAGCTTGTCTACAGGTAGTGTTGTGATTATACGATGGAAAAGATTGGAAAAGATGAAATAGATTCCGTAAACAAGGTTTGCTATGCAAATCATTGAATTATTACATTTCATTCATCTAGACGTCAATCTGTAGATTGCTCAGATTAGTCCGCTGGTTAATAATAAACAGTTATGTCTTCTCGACATACTATTCACCATATGGTGAGCTTTTTAGAGTTCAGTTAGAATTAGAATAAAATTTTTGTTTTTTTTTTTTTTTTTCCAAGCCTTCAAAAAAGTAACGAAGTTACTGATTTATTTGAAATTCTGAATCAAAACATCGTTTTAATATATATATATATATATATATATATATATATATATATATATATAATATATATATATATATATATGTCAATATGTGCAACTTTTAATTGACTTTTTTTTTACCTAGTTGATAACGATGCATTTTAGTAAAATTAATTGTTTTAAATTAGAAAATTTTTGCAACTTTGTTAAAGTGTTCAAGTTTGCTCAAGGAAAATAAGTTTCATTAAATGTGATTTATAGCTGAATATATCCGAAATGTTAAATGAATTATTCTCAATCGTAAGTCGTCATGAAGTTGCACTGGATCCAACATTTACGACAGTTATACTAGCAGTTATAGTTTTGGAAGGTTTAGGGCGTTCGTTAGATCCCGATTTAGATCTCTTTCATTGTGCACGACCATTTCTTTTTTCCATGATTTAGTTTGTGAGTATTATTTGGAAATGTTTCTGCTTTTCCTGTTTTAATGAACAATTGCCGTCTAATTTTACAGGAGAGTTATAGGAAATTTGTAGGAGAATCGAATCAATTGTATGACTAATACTGTGATTAGAAATTATTCCTATTGTTTGTTTATTTTATATTTTCCTGTCTTGGTTGATATTCATGACAATTTATTGATTATTTTCGATTCTTTGATTAATTCAAATTGATTATTTTTATTTGACTTTTGTTATAAATTCTGATAGACGAGTACCAGTTGCATAGGAAGTTACGTCAAAATTAGATAATACTTTGTAATGATTGGAAATCTTGTACTGATAACTGATTTGTATCGTATGTTATGATCGCTGCATCTTATGACTAAAAGATTTATTTTCATGTTAAATTGTTGTTTGTAATATTGAGATCTGTATTTCTGGATAGGCATAATGATTCAAACATGTTCTCAAATTTAGCCAGGGTAGTTGTTATTTATGTATAATTTATATATATATATATAATTATATATAATAATTGTGGTCATTTTTCATCTTTGTTTGTTCGATTATTTTACATTTAGATGATTCGTAATCTCTTTCAATCAGTGGTGCTACTGTATGATAATAAGAGATATAATTACATATGTGCTTACTTTCAAATAGCAGTAATAAAATAAAAAGATCAAATTCAGTTTTGGAGTGTTTTTTATTTTTAAAACCTGTTTACTATTACCGGTATCTCATTTTTTGCTCATAAAGATTGATAATTATCGATTTTGCTTTTGTCAATAATATCGAAAAAAAAATTAATATCTTTTCTTTAATATTATCATGAATAATATACAGTAGTCTTAATCGTTCTTCATTTTATCGAGTAATTTTGTTATATTTATAGCAGTTATTTACTTTGTTTACAGCAAAGTAATGTCAACGCATTCAGCTCGTGGATCTTCGTTAGCTAATTTTATGCGAGCAGCTGAACGTGATGATGTATTACTATATGTTACTGCAGCGGTTGGTATTTTTATGCCCGGTTGTGTATATATGCTTTATCAGTATGCTCATAAATTATACACTGAATATGTTGAGGTAACTTCTTTCATTAATAAATATGAAATTGTATTTGATGTTATATTAGTTGTAAACTTTCTATTTGGATATTCTTTATCTTCTCATACGTAATTAAAATTTACGTTAGAAATTCTTTGTTGTAATAAATTTTATAGAAGCGTGAACTGCGGAAACGAGAAGAAGAGTTAGAGAGTAAAGTGGTGACAATATTTTATGCTGAAGGACGAGGAAATGTTGAAGAATTGGCTCATTATATTGGTGCACATTTGGAGTACGAAGGATTACCAGTGGTTAATTTAGCTGATATTGAAACGGCAGCTTTCATGAAATACAGGGTAAGTTGTCAGTTTTTCACTATATTCGTTTTTTCTTTTTATAACTGTTGCAATCTTTTGAAGGTAACTTATTAATTTATAAATAATTGCATTAGTGCAATTAAGAATTGTTTAACACATAGCTATATTATACAAATATTTGAATTCTCGATTTCAACAATACGAAACAATTAAATAATTAGTTGTTATTGGCATTATGACAAGAAAAAAAAAATTATAAATGAAATCTATAACAACTAAAATTGTTCAATCATTCTACAGGGTGTTGGTTTATTCCTGATGGACTGTACACTTGATGGAAATGAGACGGAGAGTACTGAATGGTTTTTGGAATTTCTAGAAGATCTTGCATTCGATCAAAAAGCGACCAATTTACCATGCCGACAAATGCATTTCGCTGTTCTTGGTATTGGTGATTCACGTAGCGGTCACAAACAATATTATCGAGTTTGTCATTCTTTCTTATTTTTGTATACTTTATAAATTTTATATACTTTTAGTTTCGTTATATTAATAACTGTATTTTAGTTTATAATAAATTGCAGGTCGCGAGAGCTTTAACAAGGCGATTAAATTCCATCGGAGCTGTTGCTCTTTGTCCATTGTGTTATATTTGTAGTCACTCGAATACAGGTAAGCAATTTCTTTACTTGCGAGAAATGGTGAGATTAGAATTTAGGATAGGAAATTTCTTCGCTCATAATTTTTTTCCTATTTTTACTATTGTTATTTTATCCTGCTGTCTACTAGAATTATTTCTAACATATACGATTACCTTTACTATTATTTTTGTTGTTATTACTAACATTTATTAATATTAATAATATTATGCAATGTGTAAAGCTTGCTAATGCAACAAAATGTTCATTTAATTAGGATTAGAGAAGCAAGCAGCAATTTGGGCATCTCGTATAGCGAAAGCACTGGATAAGTACGAAACAAAAAATACGAAATGTTCACGAAGTTTTTGGTACTACAATAATGAAAGTAGCAGTAGTAACAGTGATACGGATGATAATGATGCTGATGGACAGAAATTTCTTTCTAATCATGTGTAGGCTTTTCATATATATATTTCATTAATTTGTTTATTCACTTGAGTTACTGGATATTGGTTTAATTCTATCTTCTCATCTACAAGTTTATGAAATACTATTCATAGAAGATTCCTTTCTCTCTTTTCTCTCCTCTCCTCTCTTATCTGTTGTTCCTTCATTTATATGATATTAATTGAATTTTTGCAGAGACTATCTCTACGAATCAGATGATGCTGATGGAGATGACTAAAGGACATCTTCGATGAATATGGAAATGTAACTAAAAATAAAAGCAGAAGAACGTGATTTCGTTCGTGAAGGATTACTAACTGTAAAATGACCAATCGCATTCAAATATAGGTATATATATATATTGTTCTATCATTGTTTTGTTTGCTCAATATTTGTCTTTTTATACATGTTGTCATGGTATTTTCTGTTATAAGTTTGTCATTTTTTCCAATTTTATAACATCTTATAAGAATTTCTATCTGTTATCTTGGTTTGTTCTTTTTTGTCTTTGTTTTTTTTTCCTTTTTATAATCAAAGTTTACTGATCTCTCTTTTATTCTTTTCTGAAGAGCTTATTATCACATGACAATTACAATACCATTGTACAATCTTTATTGCTTTAATTATTATGTAATAATTGTTGTATTATTATTTTTGTTTGTAGGAAAAAAAAATCAAATTATTTTGAAAGGAAGAAGAAGCTATATTAATGGGTACTCTTATTTCTCAATCTCAACTATATCATGTAAAAAAATAACTCGATAACAAGATTCACTCGTCTTTTCCTCTTATTTTTACATCATTTTGCAAAAAGAACAAAAAACAGCGAGGCGTAAAGAAGAGTTGCTAACGGGTTATTGTATAAAATTAAAATATTCATCGTATCTATATGTTCAGATTGATTTTTCTCGTATATGAGAAATATTTTTCTTTTTTTCATTGAAATTAGTTTTGCATAAATCACTGAACAGGTTTTTTTCTCATTGAAATTAATTTTGCATAAATTATTTCTTTCTTGTTTTTTTCTTTTTTAGAAAAAAAAACGGTAAAAATATTATCAACTGTCCGTCATCACATATATCCATCTATGCAGAGTGATTGTTGACAAAAATATCATTTAAGGATAGTGATTTATTGTTCATCAATGATTATACAAGTGAAAAAGATAATACATGTATTCAACTAATCTTTTATTCAAGTAACAAAATTGATATTATTTAGTTTAATTTATCATTTGATAATGTTTTCAATTAGTAATTTAAACTGTGAAAGATTTAAAAGAAATGAATTCATTACTGTCTTTATTAGTATTTAAGTCATTTTACTAAATTTATGTACGACTATTACACAATGACCATTCCCTTTATGCTTAGGCTAAAGACATTTTTAAATTTGCACATAATGTTGTCCTAATTTGACCAATGTATACGACATACATACATACATATGTCGTACATACAACACACACACACACACACATACATGCATTTGTTGACGTCACCTCTATTTCGACAAATCAGGCGCAATGGTTTACGTTACTATAGATACAAGTGTAAATACAGAGAGAGAGAGAGAAGACTGGAGGACATGTAGGGAGAGAGGGAGAGAGAGAGAGAGGAGAAAGGAGAGAAAATGTTGACAAGTTATGGACCGACTAACTGACTGATATGGATGGATTTGAAGGACGTTGGTTACATACACATACACATACACATACATACACACACACACACATACGTACATACATACATACATGCATAGTAATGTTGATATTGGTTGGTTGTATCTTTGTCAATTTTATTTTATTTTGAAGAGATAATTTTCAGGCTAGTACTGTTACCGTGATTATTGATAAGACGTGAACTTTTATCACTGATGATTTGATATCATTAGTGTCGATAAAAGTATAACTAGTTTTTATCATTGATGATTTGATATCAGTAGTATCAATAAAGTATAACTAGTTTTTATCATTGAGTATTTGATATTATTTAAGTGTTAATTTAGTATCATTAAACTTTGTAAAAACTTTGAACTTTGTTTACTCTATGCTTTACGTTCTTTTTCTTTTTTCTTTTCTCTCATATCGATCATGTTTAACGTGTAGGAGTTACATTATCAATAAATAAAAATGAATAAATTATATCAGATGTAATACATATAGACATGTTGACCTTTAACCTCTTTCATATATTTATTCTTGTCAATATTATAACATTAAGGTGGATCATTTCTGACACTTTTAATAGTCATAATAAGTAAATGTTTCAAATCATTGATGTCAACTGTTGATTGATTAGTTTTTTTATCGGGAAATGTTTCCCTTTTTTTTGGCAGGTTATATTTTATGCATTTTATTTATTTATTTTGTTTTTTTTGTGCCAACTTTTTGTGATAATTAGTTCTGCTAATCTTTTTTTTTTTTTTTTTTTTTTGTAGTGCATTTCAAAAATTTTCCGTTACCATTACTGAATGTAATCGATTGATAGTACTTTTAAAAATGACATAAAGAAAATTCAATATTTAGATGGAGCGCAAATGCCTATTGCATTATGATTCTCTCGTTTGGGACTTATCCTTTCTTGTCATCATATTTTAACATTTGCTTTTTTTTTTTTTTTTTTTTTGTTCTCTTCGTTTCACTTTATTGATGGCATATTGTGAGCTAAATTTGATTTAATGTGAAGCAGAAGAAATTTGAGTTCATATAATTCATTATTTTTCATCCATTTATGGATCAAAATTTTCAAGATTTATTCATGCAAAACAATTTATTTATCGGTGTTGCATGCAAATTAAACATTTAAAATATTCAACTAATAGGTTAATTAGTTGATGACATGTTATAAGTTAAATAATTCGAATACATTTGGTGACAATTTATAGGGTAATTATTTCAGCCATATGAACTGGTTGCCAATTCAATTTCATTTCTGATATATAAAAATGTGAAAAATGTAATCATTGTTGATCAGTGTGTTTGTGTATGTTTTTTTTTATCCTTTTTTTTTGGCTTTGTAAGCGCTATTTTGATTGATATATTAGTCCGCACTTCCCTTATCATTATCATATGTTATCAGTATTATCGTCTCTATTGATACTATTATTGTTCCTCTATTTGAAACAGATTCATTCCACAAATAATACTTAATAGGAAATGATGATTTTAACACTTTTTTTTTGTTACATTTTAAACAGTATCACTGTTAACATATATTGCTTAGTAGTGTTTTGCAATCGAACATTACATAGTTTAGTTTTTATTTCATTTTATTGTCTCATCTTTTGCTTACTCTCTCCCTCTCTCTCCCTCTCTCTCTCTTTTTTTGTTTACTGAACTAACGAATGAAAGTGAATATGATTCATGATTGTATAAGTTATGGGATGGACGTTTATGACAGACAGAAGTAAACATTTATTTGATGTTTATGATTGTTAGATATGCTTCTCTGAACCTTTTCCATTTCGGATTCATGAGACTAATTTTGTTAAATACAAATATTTTATCATCACTTTTTTTTTCAAGAATTATTTTGTTTTATTTTTTATTATTTTTTTCAGATTAATAGTGTAATGAGAAGTTTCTTCATTAATATTAATAGTAAAATAATGCGATTTTTTTGAATTCAAAAATATTCAATTTAAACTTTTTACTTGATTTGATAGTTCGTGTGTGAAATTTTAGAAATGGCTGCATTAAATGAATGATAATTCATATTTTAGTTTACTTGATAGATTGATGAGTTCAATGAACTTAACTAATGTCTTCTTTCACTACTAACTATAAAAGTATATAATTGAGTGATAATATGATTGATTGTTAATTTATCATTATCATTACTCCTTTTTTAACAATAATTAGTTGTAATGTGCAGCAAATTCTATTTGTTGTCAAACTGTCATTTTATATTTTTTATTTTTTTTTTTACAAAATGTTTTATATGAGCTGAAGCACGGTATTTGCTAGTGATAATTGAAATAAAATGTAAGTTAAAATTTCAAATCAAAATAATTGTTAAAAAAAATATTGCATAAAAATAAAAAGGAGTTTGTACAATTGCTGAAATCGTTAAATCTTAGAATGATTTCGTATTCGAAATGTATCTTTCCCAGTATATCATCAATGAATAATTGTCAGTAATGAAAATTATATGGGTTAATTTATCTCTTCTTTAATTGGTAATTAAGAATTGATTTATGAATGTGTTTGGCGCAAAATATGCTTAATATTCATTTCATCTAATTTATTAGCTTAAGAAATTAGCTAATTTATAAGCTTAAGAAATGATGGTTAATGTGAAGAATGTATGTTGTAGCATAAATGATACATTTGATGAATGTGATTTATATGATAATCATAAAATTTACCATACAGCTTTCTCTTATCCAGTTAAGAATTAATTGATTTTTTTTTTTTTTACTTTATAATTATTTGCGAATGTTAATTCGTAAAGTTTCACAAATTTATGTCCAGCGTTTTGTAGTTGGATTAGTTATTTATCATTATTGATATTACATAAATATCTCAAAATGTAGCTTACATCTAATTCATTGATGATGTTTAGATTCTTTATAAAATTATCAACAATCAGTGAATTATAGATTAATTACAAATCTTATTGAATTACAATTTTGTCTGATTTATTCATAATTAATGTTTATATTGCTCTTTCATGGCCTTTTCTTTTTCCAGTTTTTCATTTACTTATATTTTACTGTTTGAAATTGAGAACAAGTTATGAATAGAAAGTAATAAATCGGAAATGCATTTTCGAGTGCGAAAAGAAAGATTAGCACTTTGGGATGACATTTTCATCAATTTATATATGTTCGTTTCATATAATTACTATTATTCGTCCTTTTTGCTTTGAACAATTTGCCTTACGGTTTTCCGTTCTCTTTTCTTATTAATTATTTAATTGATTAAAAAAAGAAAACTTATAAAATTTTAGTTTGTTTGGTGTACATTTTGTGCTTTTATTTTCACCACTACTTTCCAGTCAGCAACAATGTCTTCACTCTTACCGATCAAATTTCAAGAGCATATTTTGGTAAGTTTATCTAATCAGATAGTTTTTTTTTTTTTCACAACCTTATCATTACCTTTTGATAAAAAATATTATGTCATATTTGCCACTACCAAATTAAACGAACGAAATTTTTATATGCATGTTTGATTCATTTAGTTTTTCTTTGTGATGAAATTTATAATACATTGGTTCATCTTTTCTTGATGATAAGTGTAAATGACTATATTTTGGAATTTAGATTTTTTAATGGAAAAATGTAGAAACTTAATTGTAAATTTAATAAAGTAAGATTATTTAATATGATATAATACTACGCGTGAAAAATATTCATATACTGTTTTATTATTTGATTTTAAGGGCAACTTTTTTCAGTTACAAAGTTTGGGTATAAATGCGGCAAATATCGGATTCGCAACGTTAACAATGGAATCGGACAAATTTATTGTTGTAAGAGAAAAAGTTGGTGAGAATGCTCAGGTTGTTATTGTTGATATGAATGATGTCAACAATCCTCTTCGTCGACCAATCACTGCAGATTCGGTAATAATGAATCCTGCAACAAAAGTTCTAGCTTTAAAGTGTAAGTTTTATTGTGATAAAGGTGTTCTTATCGCTTAAATCCTTTATATTACAGGAAGAAATTTTTCTCCTTTTATCTTTTTTATTAAAATAACGACATATTTGTTCAGCGTCCCGTACCCTTCAAATTTTCAACATCGAACTGAAAACTAAAATGAAAGCCTACAATATGCCAGAAGATGTGATCTTTTGGAAATGGGTCAATGTTAATACGATTGCATTAGTATCAGAAACTGCAGCATATCATTGGTCACTACAAGGTTACTCTAACTTTTATTTTCTCCTGCCTTCAACAAAGTCATTTGGAAATACTTCCACTGATGATAATTAATACAAGCTAAATATTCAATTAATCACGTACGGATTTTTGAAAAAACTATGAAAGTCATTGCATGCAAATTTCCATTAGTTTGTTCCTAAATTCATTCTGTATATCGTGTAGTTTAATTTACAGGTGATTCACCTCCAGTAAAAATGTTCGAAAGACATTCAACATTGAGTGGATTTCAAATAATTAATTATCGAGCAGACGCAGAATGTAAATGGTTGTTGGTGATTGGAATTGCTGCTAAGGTATTCCTTCTGGATCTTTATTATCATTTATATTATTAAGGGTATTAGTTGCAATGTAATATTATAAATAAATTTGTATGTCATAATTCTCCCTGTCTCATTTCGTAGAAAAATGATAAGTGGATATTATAAGATCGTTAAACAAAAATTTTTTTTTTTAAATTACTCTGCAATTTCGAATTTGAGCGATTTACTGTTATCGAAATTTCAAGTAAGATATAAATTGTCATTAAATTGCAGGATAATCGTGTGGTTGGTGCAATGCAGTTGTATAGTACAGAGAGGAAAGTATCACAACCAATTGAAGGTCATGCAGCATGCTTTGTGAGCTTTAAAACTGAAGGAAATCCACATCCTAGTAATTTATTCTGCTTCTCTGTTCGAACTATCCAAGGTGGAAAGGTAACTGTTTTTGTTATTTATTGAGTCTTAACGGAATAAATGACTTTGGAAAAACTTTTTAAATTGTATAATCCTCCCGTAGGCACAGCTTTTTCTATTTTTGAAAAAGTTGTTCAGTCAAGGGAAGGTAAATTATATATGCGTTTTATAGTGCATGCCATCAAATTTCTTAATGGTATGTCTTCCGCCAAATGCGACATACTTCACGATATACAAACTTTTCATCTCGTAATCAGTAGTAATTAATGCGTGTTCTTATTATATATTGGTTTCTTGTAGTAACTTGTAACATCTATTATTAGCTTATTCTAATGCTTCAGTTATAAATCGATGTTTGTTATTTCAGCTTCATGTTATCGAGATAGGTAGCCCACCAGCTGGTAATCAACCCTTTCAAAAGAAACAGGTGGAAGTATATTATCCAGCTGAAGCTGCTACTGATTTCCCGGTTGCAATGCAGGTATGTACTAGTTATTTTGTAATCTGAAGTAAAGAAAATATAGGTTTGTTTGGTAACAGGAATCCGAATATTGTATTATAATCTTTTACAGAAAAAAAAAAAAAACATTCATTTGGTAAAATCGCTGATTTTTGCTGATCTTTAATGACTTCGTGCAATTCAGTATGAGGCTTTAGACTGTTTTTATCCAAATGTACCAACAATATATACAAAAGTTCGGATCACTTTTGTTATGTTATGCGTAATGAGGCGAAAAATATTTTAAGCATAAAAATTACCAATTGAGCAAAGAAAAACATACAATTTCTTTAACATTTGGATTTGCTTTTTTAGTTTTTTTGAAATACTGATTATTACATAGTCATTTTATCACCAGCATTTATGGTAACCGATAATTTTCAGAATATCTTTACATTTGTTGAAATTTGAATAGTTTCAAGATATTAGAAGTAGACTGAGAAGGGGGGAAAAATATAGATGAGAGAGGGGAAAAGAAAAAAGATAATCTTCTGTTGTTTTAGGTATCGATTTAACTTCTAGATTATATTTAACACTATTTCTGTATTTAACATTCTCATTTCTTGGGATTGAATTGCAATTGGAAACTTTTTTGTCGCTGTGGAGATGAGAACAGACTTTTCATTGCTTCGAATTTTTCTCGTAAAAGAAATTCAATGGAGTAAAACTTGTTATCTCTAACTTCAAAATGTGGTAGTATTTGGCTTCGTTCATTAAATTATATGCGATTGATCAATTTGTAAACCCAAAGATTCAAAAAAGGTAATGAAATTATAGGCTTCATCAAAGCATGGTATCATATATTTGGTGACGAAATATGGCTATGTGCATTTATATGATATCGAGACAGCAGTATGCATTTATATGAATCGAATCTCATCAGAAACTATCTTCGTCACTGCTGAATATACTGCTACCGAAGGAATAATTGGCGTAAATCGGAAGGGACAGGTATTATTTTTACCTGTAACCAAGTTATTTATTTCCGTAAATGTTGTCAGCTCGACCGATCAACAGATGGTTAATTTAAATTGTGTAGTTGAAATGAATCGACATAGACACACTTTGCTTGATATATGAGCGCCCACTCTTATACCAAGACAGTCTTACTAATACCACTATTTTTTTAATGATTTAATACTCGTAGTTACAGAGGCGTTTATTGATGATGATTTTAAACATTGTACTATCATAGTTTTCTATATTTTGAAACAAAGATTCACATTGTACATTTTTAGGTTCTCTCAGTAAGTATTGATGAGCAAAATATGATCCCTTACGTGACACAAACATTGCAAAATCCGGAGCTTGCATTGAAATTAGCAGTACGTTGCGATCTTCCAGGAGCTGAGGAATTATTTGTTCGTAAATTCAATCTACTTTTCGGTAATGGAAATTATGCTGAAGCTGCAAAAGTTGCTGCAACTGCTCCTCAAGTAATTGGCCCTTTTTTTTTTTTTTTTTTTTGACTGTGTATAACAGGTGGATTAGTCAGTGTTATGCTGTATCATTCCCATAAAAGTATTTTATTCATTCACAACCAATAGAAATGATTGCTATTGCAGGGCATTTTAAGGACACCGCAAACAATTCAGAAGTTCCAACAGTGTCCACATACAGGCGGTGGACCAAGTCCTCTACTCCAGTATTTTGGGATATTACTTGATCAGGGGCAACTGAATAAGTATGAAACGTTGGAGCTGTGCCGACCGGTGCTAGCACAGGTTGCGTTTTTTCGTTTTGATACTTAGGCAATTTAGAAAAGAAAAAATTTCTTTTTATTCTCGACTGGGAAATTTGTGAAAGGCGTTGCAAACAGCCCAAAAAATTTATATAGAAGTTTTACTTGATCAAATATATATATATGTTGAAATGTTGAAAATCAATTTCGTAATTCAATTTACAGGGAAGGAAGCAATTGTTGGAGAAATGGCTTACTGAGGGAAAGTTGGAATGCACTGAAGAATTGGGGGATCTGGTTCGTCCACATGATGTCAACGTTGCACTGTCTGTTTATCTTCGTGGTAACGTACCTCATAAGGTTTGTTTGTTTATATTTATAGGTTATATTTGACTGATAAACTATATTTGTTTTTAAAGAAAGTGATGACGAAAAGTTCACTACATTCGAAATGAAATAATTGTTAATACTTTGGTAGAATATTAGTAGCGAATAAATGAAAGCTTATTGAACAGGTTGTACAATGCTTCGCTGAAACAGGACAGTTCGATAAAATTATTTTGTATGCTAAAAAAGTGAACTTCGAACCTGACTACTTGTTCCAACTTCGACAAGTATTACGTTCAAATCCAGAGATGGGAGCTAAATTTGCACAAATGCTTGTATCTGAAGGCGAAAATGAGCCACTAGCTGATATTAACCAGGTAACTTCATAACAGTTTAATTTGAAAGCAATCATTCCTAAATTCAATGATGAAAAAAATTTTCGAAAAGTCATCACGTGCAGTTATGTAATTTGAAATGAAATTGGCATTTCTATCTCCCAAAAATAATAGGTTAAAAAAATGTTATTTATTTGCACCTATGTCTTAGTTTGTTTTACTTAACTACGAGTTGTTTAATAGACTTTTGACATATGGTAGGATGATAATCTGAGTTACAGATAGTTGGATGTTTCGAGGAAGTACAAGCAGTACAACCATGTACATCGTTCTTGCTTGAAGTACTGAAAAGTGATAAGGAGTCGGAGGGACATCTTCAAACAAAATTGCTTGAAATGAATCTTCTTTATGCTCCACAGGTTAGTATATAAATTGGAAGAGCTGGACGAATTGTTTGATTATCTCCAAGATTTCAATCTTTCGTCTTTCTAAAAGGACTATGGATCATGATGAAGGATTTAATTATTATGTGATTTTGAGATTACTCATTTGATTTCCAGGTAGCAGATGCAATATTAGGTAATCAGATGTTTCATCATTACGATCGTGCAACGATTGGACAGTTGTGTGAAAAAGCAGGTTTATTGCAACGAGCTTTGGAGCACTTCACTGACCTTTACGATATCAAAAGAACCGTTGTCCATACCCAACATCTTAAACCTGATGTTTGTTTTTTATTTCTTCACATGAATTATATAATTTTTTATGCTGGATTAGGAAAGTGGCTTAGTTGCCAATTATATGTGCTTAAAAAATACTTTTAATGACTAAAAAAATTAAACTTTTTTGCATTGCTCCTCCAAAATTGTGCACGAATTGCAGTGGCTAGTGAATTACTTTGGGCAGTTGTCAGTGGAGGATTCACTGGAATGTTTGAAAGCGATGCTACAAACAAACATGCGGCAGAACTTGCAAATTGTTGTTCAGATAGCTACTAAATACCATGAACAGCTTACTACCCATGCGCTCATTGATCTATTTGAGTCGTTCAAAAGCTACGAAGGACTGTTTTACTTTTTAGGCTCTATTGTCAATTTTTCGCAAGATCCTGAAGTTCATTTTAAATACATCCAGGTATGTTATCATCAAGAAGTTAGTAATTCCACAATCTAAGATGATTGATTGCACAGCATGATTAGCAAATCTTGAAAATGATCAGATCACATATATACATGCATGTATGGTTAACATACATAAATGCAGTTGGTATTAATTAGAAAATGTAGGAAATATGTTTTCAAGTAATTGTAATGAAATTATAAGAGTTCTCCATCATTAATACTAATATTGTTAAATGTATCTGAAGTAGAACGGAAATATCAAGTTTTATTACAGGCTGCTACTAGAACTGGACAAATCAAAGAAGTAGAAAGAATTTGTCGTGAATCAAACTGCTATGAAGCAGAACGAGTTAAAAATTATTTAAAAGAGGCTAAATTAACGGACCAATTGCCTCTGATCATTGTATGCGATCGACATGATATGGTGCACGATCTTGTCCTTTATCTTTATCGAAACAATCTGCAGAAATACATTGAGGTGTTCGTACAGAAGGTTATCTTTTATTCGTTCATGTCATTAAATTTAAGAAGTTGAACATATGGTTGTTGTACTTTTTGTCTATTTTTTTTGTATAAATCTCTGTTTATTTAGGTAAATCCGGCACGACTACCTATTGTTGTTGGTGGTTTGCTGGATGTAGATTGCTCGGAAGATGCAATCAAACAACTCATCATCAATACAAGAGGAAAATTTGATATTGACGAACTAGTTGACGAAGTCGAAAAGAGGAACAGGTTTCTGCTTTGGTTTTTTAATTAACAAAATATTTAAGAGATATCATAGTGATAATTAAAGAATGATAGAAAGCACACGGTGACCCACTATTATATTATTAAGTTTATGGTGTCAGTTTTTAGATTGAAACTATTAGCACCATGGCTAGAGATGCGTGTTCAGGAGGGAACTGTTGATCCAGCAACGCACAATGCTCTTGCTAAAATCTATATTGATGCCAATAATAATCCTGAACGATTTCTTCGTGAAAATCCATATTATGATTCGCGAATTGTTGGAAAATATTGTGAAAAAAGAGACCCACACTTTGCATGTCTTGCATATGAACGTGGCCAATGTGATGCTGAACTTGTTAATGTATGTTGCAATCTTTTATAAGTTAATATTATGGTTGTTAGTGCAATATGCTGGAGAAGCAAGCTCTTTTATTGTATGTAGGTTTTTTATAACCATACAATTCTACTTTATTTACGAAGTTGTGTTTTAAATTTCATCAGCAATATCAGGAGTTTAATTTCAGGTGTGTAACGAAAATTCGCTTTTTAAAAATTTAGCGCGATACCTAGTTAAGCGGCGTGACTTTCCACTTTGGGCTCAGGTATTGGCTGAAGACAATCAACATAGAAGGCAATTAATTGATCAGGTTCAGTTTTTATTTTTACATATGGATATATTTAGTGTGATTCGGAACTTCTTTATATAAAAATTTAAAAATTTCCTCCTGATTTTATGCTTGACATTAGTTTGTTTATGTGTGTATGCGTGTGAGTGTATTGCACATATATGCGATTTGAAGGAAATTGAGTTCATGATATAAAGTATTAAAGTATTACTTAATAAAGTATTAAGTAATATCTATTCAAAAGAAGATGTAGGAATCAGAACGAGAAGTTAGAAAGGTGTCTAATATTGGTGGAAAGATTAGAGTAGATATTACTTAATATAAGAATTTGAAAAAAAAGTTTTGATTTGCTTGAAAACGTTTAGTAACATATTTTTCAGGTAGTTCAAACGGCTCTTTCGGAAACTCAAGATCCAGAAGATATTTCAGCAACGGTAAAAGCTTTTATGGCTGCTGATTTGCCGAATGAGCTAATTGAGTTATTGGAAAAAATTGTCCTTGACAACTCTGTCTTTTCAGAGCATAGGTAATTCTTGTTGCAATGGTGATAAGTTCAAACTAGTAGCTATTTTAAACTTCTATTTGAAATGTGATTTTTTTTTTTTTTTTTTAGTAATTTGTGAACTGTTTAATTTATTTATGATTGATGGGTTCCAATGTGTTTGGCTGAGTAATTATTAGAATGATATTACAGGAACCTTCAAAATTTACTCATTTTGACAGCAATTAAAGCAGACCGTACACGTGTCATGGAATACATCCAGAAGTTGGACAATTACGATGCACCGGACATCGCCAATATTGCTGTTTCCAACCAGTTATATGAAGAAGCATTTGCCATTTTCAAAAAATTTGATGTCAATACTGCAGCAATCAATGTTAGCTTTGTTTTCTCGCTGTTTTAACATTTACACTCATTCGTCTTCTCTATCATATTTTATGTTCTTTCGAATTTATATGTAAAATACGACATTTGCGTATATTTGAAGCAGGTTATTATTTTAATCATATATAGCTAATTATGCAACCATTGTCAACAAGAATGCATTTTCAGCTTATTATTTTTAGTGAGCGTGATGAAGATTATATGTGTCTTTTTATGCAAAATAAATCATCAAACTAGGCATTGGTTTATAGCAAAAATTTATTCCAATGCAGGTTTTGATTGATAATGTGTCCAATTTGGATCGTGCTTATGAATTTGCGGAACGATGTAATGAACCTGGCGTTTGGGCGTCATTGGCGAAAGCGCAGTTGAAAGAGGGTTTAGTAAAAGAAGCTGTAGATTCATTCATTAAAGCCGATGATCCCACTGCATATATGGAAGTTGTGAGCAAATGTTCAGAAACTGGTTGGCATTCATTTCTTTATGTAGATTTTTGATTTAAATATTTATTAATTTAATATTATCACTTTAATATTTGTGTTTGTTAATTTAATCACTTTAATGTAATATTAGCACTTTTTGATAGTCTCTTAGTTATGGGATAGTTCAATTAATCCATGAATGTTACACCATTTACGTACTGTTTCAGGAAACTGGGAGGATTTGGTTCGATATTTGCAAATGGCACGAAAAAAATCGAGAGAATCATACATAGAAACAGAACTTGTCTATGCTTACGCAAAAACAAATCGTCTTGCTGACTTGGAGGAATTCATTTCGGGACCTAATCATGCTCAAATTCAACAAATAGGTGATCGATGTTTTGACAGTGGAATGTATGAAGCAGCCAAAATTCTTCATAACAATATATCGAATTTTGCAAAATTATCAGTCACACTTGTTCGGCTTAATGAATTTCAAGGTGCAGTTGATGCTGCTCGAAAAGCAAATTCAACGAAGACATGGAAGCAAGTAAGTTCATATATTATGTTCGGTGTTTTTATACATTATTCTTAATTATGGCATTAGAGATAACTATCAAGACATGTGCTGTGTGTGCTTGTTGATGATAAGAAAACAAACTATGTATATTTGGGGCAGAAAAGATTGGTTGCATTTCAGTTAAATTAATTTAAATCACATTGGTAATGCTTAATTGATAGTAATGTAGTGAATTTGGCAAAAATGTAGAAAATAAGACAGAACAAGAATATAATATTGATCACTTGTCTTTGTTTTATAAAATTTAGGAGTATTAAATTGCTATTCAGGTTTGTTTTGCTTGTGTTGATAATGAAGAATTTCGTTTGGCACAGATGTGCGGTCTTCATATTGTCGTACATGCAGATGAACTCGAGGAATTAATTAATTACTATCAGGTTTGCATTTGTTTAGGTTTTTTTTTTCCTTTTTTAGTTCTTTTACTGTATTTCACGTGTTTTGGAATTTCAGGTATATCTTAACTTTTGTTTAAGTTTTCCTGTCTCATTTGGATTGAATAATTAAAAAAGAAAAAGAGAAAAGCAGTTATTTAAAAAGTGTTTTCTTGTTTCTTAAACGTGTTATAAGTTAAATTTTTCCAGGATCGAGGATACTTCGAAGAATTAATTGGTCTGCTAGAGGCAGCACTAGGTTTGGAAAGAGCACATATGGGGATGTTTACTGAATTAGCAATCCTTTACAGTAAATATAAAGCTGAGAAAATGCGTGAGCATCTTGAGCTGTTTTGGAGTCGAGTAAATATTCCGAAGGTGAATTTGTATTTCCCTTATTTCTGGTCTTGTTGTTTTGAACTCAATTTACTTTAGTGATCAATTAGAAACATGAAGTTTTTTTTGTCACCAAATGAATTTGATTAGTCTCAATGTTTTTTTCATATGTGCCTTCGTTAATCGAAGTTTTTTTTTTTTCTATGGGAAAATTTTTATTGTATTACAGGTTCTGCGTGCTGCAGAACAAGCTCATTTATGGTCTGAGCTTGTCTTTCTTTATGATAAATATGAAGAATACGATAATGCGGCTCAAACGATGATGCAACATCCAGTGGAAGCATGGCGAGAGCAGCACTTCAAGGAAGTGATCACTAAGGTAGTTAATGCGAGATACATTTTTATTTCTGTTATTATATTTTTTTTATAAAATTTAAATTATTTTTTTAGAAAAAGAAGTTACTGTAATCATTTTTATAGGTGGCGAATATTGAACTGTATTATAAGGCGATGCAATTCTATTTGGATTATAAACCTATGCTATTGAATGATCTACTTCTTGTATTAACACCACGACTTGATCATTCGCGAACTGTATCATTCTTTGCTAAGTGTTCGTTTTCTTTTTTTTTTTTTTTTGAAGGCTTCTGATTGATTAGATATTATGTTGTTTTTGTTAATAGCTGATTTTACTATCAGTGATATCAGAAATAGCATTATCAATAATATTCGTGTGTTAATATTTTGATTCGTTGTATGTTGGTTTACTTTCAGTGAATCAGCTGCCTCTCGTGAAACCATATTTACGTCAAGTGCAAACACAAAATAACAAATCAGTGAACGAGGCTTTAAATCAAGTGCTCATTGATGAAGAAGATTATACTGGTCTTCGCTCTTCTATTGATGCTTATGACAACTTTGATAATATTACCTTGGCACAACAACTTGAAAAACACGAATTGCTTGAATTTAGACGTATATCTGCGTATTTATATAGGGGAAACAATAGGTGGAAACAAAGCGTTGAGCTATGCAAGAAGGACAAATTGTACAAAGTAAGTGCTTTCAGCTGTCTGAATTAAACTTTTCAATCTTGATGATATTAGGTTGATGTTTTTAAAACATCTTAAAAATTTAACATTTCAGGATGCAATGGAATATGCTGCGGAATCGCGACAACCTGAAATAGCGGAAGAATTATTAGCATATTTTCTCGAAAATAAATTACACGATTGTTTTGCAGCTTCACTTTATCAAATGTATGACTTGTTGCACCCGGATGTTATATTGGAATTAGCGTGGAAACATAAAATTATGGACTTTGCGATGCCTTATATGATTCAAGTAATGCGCGATTATCATAGCAGGGTATGCATTCTTTACAAATGCTTTATTATATCATTACTGTGTTGATATTTGTCAATGATACTAATTATCACTGTCCATTGACATTACTCATCTTGATATCTTTACTCATAGTTAGTTGGAGGACAATTTGAGATAATGGTGACCTTGGTCCTTCTAGACTAGAAATTCATTTTTTTCTTTTCAGTTTAAATTACTTTTATTTTGTTTACCACTACTTACATAGGATAGGAGATATTAGCAAGACGATTTAATAAGCGATAACCATATAACTTGAGTGTTTACTGATTAAAATTCAATACTTTTCTGAGCACTATTTTTAAAGAGTGATGTATTTTTAGATTGGAAAGTTGGAAAGAGCTGAAGCAGAAAGAAAAGAAGAGATTCAAGGAAATCAGCAACCAAATGGAAGCATGAGTTAGTGCTTTATATTCGAGTTACCAACTTCTTATTTTTTGAAATATTTTGTCATTACTGGAGTTTGTAATTATTACTGAAACTTATTAGAATTTTGTTTATAGCGATTATCGAATTTTGTCATTATTAATATTGGTAAGTGCTAAATTTCTAGTCAATAAAATATTGTTACAGTGGAACCACAGTTAATGTTGACATTTCCTGGTGGTGCACCGATAAGTTCAGTACCACAAATGTCTGCAGCATACGGTGGTGTAACAGTATCTAGCACTCCTTACGGTGCTACTGTACCAGCAACGAATGCTTATGGAACACCGATGTATCCAAGTAGTGGTTCATATGCCATGTAGTCACTGATATTCTTCTTTCACATTTAAAGCATTGATTCGTTTCTTTGTTCTCAAATCGATTTTATAGAAGTAACACACATCGGTTCTTGTTGTTAAAAGACAATTTTATTTCACTCTTTATTTATTATTTCTTGTTATGATCATTTATTGGGAAGGGATATTAGAAAATAATGGAAATATTGGAGTAAATTTCTTGTGAAAGAATTCTTCAAGAAAATAATGGATCTTTTCGATTTTTTTATCTTTTAATTTTGTAATAAATGAATGATGAAAATTTTGAAAATTCTTTCAAAATGTTTAAATATCATGAGTAAATGAATAAAAAAAGAACAGTGAGAGGGGATAATTATTATTACTTCTCAAAATTTTTATCCATTTTTATCCATAGAGAGCCTATATAGGAATAACATGTGAAAATTGTAATCATTTATTACTTTTTCTCCCTTTTTTTTTTTTTTTTACCTGCAATGCTTGTTTGTATTATATAATGCACATGTACTAGTTAGTGATCAGCAGCAGCACTGTGTTATGTGAAACATCAAAATTTAAGTATATAAGTATCGGTTTTTCTTTTCTTTTTTTCTTTATATGTATTCACAGTGCCCTATTCTTTTTTGTAAAACAAATATTCAATCTATTGTTTTGTTCATTCATCTTTCTTCTATATATTCACAATAAAAATTTTCCATTAAATTTTTTGAGTAAAATTGCAGCAATCTCAAAATTATTCCAACTATAAACTCTCTTAACACATAGTAATTACTCCGGTTTTTTTCCTCACTCATCTTGTTAGTCTATCAAATTTCAAAAAAAAAAAGTTCGAATGTTGTTGTTAGAACTTTATTCGCATTTGTGCATAACTGTTTCATTTGAAAAACTTTTCGAGATTATTTTAGCAAAACGCAAATAGAAATAATAGTTTATGAATAAGAAGAGTGGAAGTGAAAAGAATCGGAAATATAGATAATATATGTAAAAGATATTGAAGCAAAGGAATAATAATATTGAAATGAAATGAAGCAAAATAAGCATTCTCACCTGAGAAATTTCATTATATGTTTACTTTTTTGCTCTCCCTCTCCCTCTCTCTCTCTCTCTGTTTTTCTCTCTTTTTAGATAATTTTTCATATTAGATACAATATTTACATAGAGTATCCAATGTTTGGTATATACTGCCAAATTTGTTTACAAAGTTGAAGTCTTTTTGCCCTAATGATTAATTAACTCAATAAATTAATTGAATGTACAAGTTTGCATGTGATAGATAATTTCGTCAGGTTTATTTATAAATATAAATAAATCATTTTTAATGTCAACAATCACTATTGATTGATTGATCGACTGACTAATCAAATGGATTGTTTGCATAATTCAACAATTTTCATCGCTTTATGGAACATTGTAAGCTTTACATCATTATCAAATAATAATTCCATTATTTAATTACTATTTTATCCTAACTAAATCAATTTATTGATAAAGAAAACAAGCAAAATCATATATTTTATGTAATAAATAATGAAGATAATAAATATTCTATTGTTAGAAAATGGTAATGGAAAAGATTTATTCAAAATTACCATAATTAATTAATTTCATTTAACTAACATAAAATTATTGTCTTCAAATTATCAGAATTAAATTATCAGACAAAAAAATTATCAGTATTATCAGAAAGTTATATGAAAAGAAAATAGAAAAGTTATTTGTAAATAAATGATTTACATTTCAAAATGAATAATATTTGCAGATTTATTCCATTCTTCAAATTGTTATATTTGCATGGCAAACGAAATATGTTAAAAATCGACAATGGGAATTTGAAAATCGACAAATTCCCATCGATGGAACGTATATGCTTAATTCTAATAGTTTTATTTTTCATTATTTTTATATCAAACATTTGTTTTGTTTTTTTATTTTTAATTGGAAAACTTATAAATAAATATTATTTAGAATGAAATTTTTTTCTTGTTTATAATTTCCTAAATTAATTAATTAATACACTTATTTTTTTTCCTAAATTAATTAATTAATTAATACATGTATTATCATTTATAATTATTCATTTTATTTAATCTTAAAAGATTTTGATTATTACTAATACTGTACGTAGATTTTTTCAGTGTTAAGTAAGAATATAGCATTTTGAGCTTTCTATTTGGCTAATTTTTTTAATATATTTTTTAATTTTTTTTTTTTTTTGAGAAAAAAATATTTTTTTGAAAGAAATAAATTTAAATTAATTGCATCTTTTTTTAGCACTGATAATTTTCAAGCTCGCTTTCCTGGATTGTATGGTATTTTAACAGAAACTCCCGAAAGACGTCGTATAAATGGTTAATTTCTTCTTTTTAAAAATTCATAAAAGCAATTCTATATTGTTTATTTGTTTTGTTTTTTTTTTTCCGAAATATTTAATGAATGAATCTTTTAAAATTATTTTCAAGCAAAAAAAAATTTTTATTTATTAACGCTTTTAATTTTCATTTATATTTTATTTTAAATGTGAAATTTAATTTGATAAATTAGAATAAAATTTAATTATTTGTTGTAATTAGTCTAAATTGAAAATATTATTTGTATGCATTGGTCAAAATATTTGCAAATATTTTATATATTTGAAAATTATTTTAATTTATTTTTTTCCTTTAAAAATTTTCAATGAAAAACTCAATGTGACTTAAGTATGATGAATTATTTATGCTTAAAAAGATAATGGATCATTTCTACTTTTGTTATTGTATTAGATCATAATTTGTTATCTATAATATCTTCCAAATAAGATAAATTACTAATTAATATTTATACTTAATTAATTAATATTTCTTTGAATTAATTACAAATTACAGAGAGTAATGGAAGTAAATATTTATTTTATTTTATAATATTTTAGCATTATTTGCACTTGCAATTGTATCATTAATTACTGCTTTGTTACATTTAATTCTCTCAGTTATGCTATTCTATGGAGTTACTACGGTAATCATTTTAATGATTTTAAAATTAAAATTTTTTTTTTCAAAAATAATTTTAATATAATAATTTCAGTTTATATTTCTAAAGGTAATTTGTCAAATTTTCTTTTCTGAGAAAAAAATCAATTTGAATATCGATTACTTCATTCAATTTCTAGTATCATTGCAGAATATTTTTTTCCAATTTAGCAACATCGTACAAATAGTTTAGCTTATCAGTGAATTAAAATGATAAGAATATGGTAAAATGATATGATTTGTTTCTTTTGAGGAAATGAAATTTAATCATATTATCATTATCATCAAATATTTGAGTAGTTGTGATTCAGAATGTTAGTGAATCAAGGATCAGTGTACTGTGATATGATAATTAGATTTTTAATTTTGCAAAGTACGCAGAAATACTGATACTAATAAAAAAAAATTTATTTTAACAAACAGCCTATCATTTTCAGAAGCGAATTAATTTTATATTGCCATGGTTCTTTACCGTATTACCTCTAATTATTTTGTCTACAATTTATGCAATAATATGGTGGTCAGGTGACATCTTTGACACACAACTGATTATGTCTGTCACCGAATTTATCCTTTCCTTACCGATCAATGTAAGAAGTATTAGTAATACTTTAAAGAGAATCAATCAATCAATCAATCAATCATTCATTCATTCATTCATTTGAGGAATAATTATCATTCAAAAAAGTGAAAAATGTTTAGCATTTAGCAAAAATATAGGCATTAATTAGTAATTATTAATTAAGTATACAGTAGTAATCAATAAATAAAAAATGCAAATAAACTTATAAGTAATGAAAAATAATTGCAGAGTATATGTGTTGTAATTGTTTTGCTGTTTTTCTTTCGCATTAAAAAAAGTTTGGAATCAATTAACCATTTGGAAAATGTGAATTATGGCAGAAATTTGCTGATAAATAAAGCTAATAGCAAAATACCAACATGGAAAAATGATTGGAATGTTGAATTATCCAAGGAATTTACCTCACAAAAAAGGTGTATTATAAATATATGTAAATGATTTAATCATTACTATGAAAATATTCTATTTCCAAAAAGAAAAGAGCAATAAATTCAGTTTTAAATTTCATTTAAATAATATAAAATTTAGCACTATTTATAAATGAACTGATATTTTAGGATGATGAAACAAAAGGATAGAAATTATCATTTGCTACACAATTCATATATTTGTACTTCATCGTTATCGAAAGGTTGAAAATTTAATTTTGATTAAAAAATAATATATTTCAGTTTGATTTTTGCTCAGAAACAATCTAAACTATCTCTTTATCAAATGATATCTTTTTTTTTTTTTGGAAAAATTCGCATAAATTATTACAAATGATTTTAGTTGAAATATTTTAAATTTAGAAAATAGCAAACAGCTACATTTAACAGCTGATCATTTGGCTGAACATAATCGAATATTATCAAATGAAGATAAGCGTTGGAGGTATTATCATTATAAATGATAACAGATATGATTCAAAGCTATAATCTTTTTAATTTTACATTTGTATTAATTTAATTGTTAACATTAAAAATTTGCTTTCTTAGTGTATGCTTGTTTTATAATAGTCGAAGAAAATTGTGAATTAAAAAATGGATCAAATTGACTTTAATTGAATTATTTTCAAATTTAATTTAATTAATTTGAATATAATCATAGTGTAATAAATTGTTTATATTCTGTCGGAGGTGATAATTCTTCATTAATTCTACCATTCTGTTTTGGTCGATTATTGTTGACAGCTATACTTCTACTTGGACATGGACAGTATTCTGCATCACTTCCTGGCATTCCTTCTTCACCGTGATCACCTTGCTCACCCTATAAAAAAATTATATTAAATAAATTTAACTAAAATATCTAATTTCATTTATTTTGATATTTAAATGTTTTTTTTTCTTTTTTTGAAACTTTTGTTTTTTTTGCGAATTTTTACTTTCATTAATTTAATGTAAATCTGGTATAAATGAAAGTAAAATTTAATTCAAACCTATATTTTAATGCTTGAAATAATCATAAAAAAAGACAGATATTTGATTATGCTTTATTTATTTAATTAGTTTAATTAATTAATGGGTTAATTATGCATTACCTGCTCGCCATCATCTCCTTTTTCACCAGCAGCTCCACGTTCTCCCGGTGGTCCTTCAAGACCTGGTAGACCAGGTTCACCTATATCACCTTCCTCACCAGGTGGACCTTCTGGACCCTGAATTCCTTTTGCACCTGGAACTCCCACAACTTTTTCTGCATCCGTACCTGGTTCTCCTTGTCGTCCTTCTTCACCTTCTGGTCCAGGTGCCCCATCTGCGCCCATCTATAAATTTAAATCTAACCTAAATGCAATGGCAGATTTTTGAAAGATTTTTGAAGTTTAGGAGACTAGAAAAAGCAATGGCAGGAAGAGATTTAGAGGGAAGAATATTAGACAATTGAAAAGTTAATTTTAACCTGTCCTGGAAGACCTGGTTGACCGTCGCGACCATTTGCACCGCTTGGACCACGTGATCCACGCATTCCTCGAGGTCCAGGACGACCTGGTTGACCTGGCTGACCTATTGGACCAGGTGGACAATAAAAACATGTCTCGTACTGTTGCAACTGTCCATACACATCTTTCATATCTGCGCCATGCGGCGCATCCTAAATTTTCCATCTCACTTTTAACTTTTTTTTTTAAAATTATCTATTAAAAATGCTATAAAATTAGTCTAAATTTTTAACCGCTACGAAATTTTTCTATTTTTTTTTTTTTTTTTTTTAGTGATATATGTGTGTTTACTTTTGTAAATCGGTCATTCTTTTTGATGAATTGAAAAAAAAAAAGACGAAATAAATTGAATAATTGAAAAATAAAAAAAAAAAAAAGGAAATACCATTCCATCCAAACCATCTAATCCATCCATACCATTTGGACCGGGCGGTCCTGGTGGTCCAGCTGGACATAAATTTTCTTTCTGAACATTTTCTTCTAAAATATATTAAAAAAATTTTACTAACATTGAAATGGAAATGCAATAAAATGAGCGAATGAATAATTATTTGTATTATACAATGAACAAAATGAAAAAAAAAATTGTTCTTTTCGTCAAAACAATTTTTGTTTTTTTTTGAATGCAAATTTATTTAAAATTTTCTTGCAGTTTTATTTATGAAAGGAAAAGTAACCGCGAGTAACTGACGTATCTACGCCTAATTGTTCCGTGTATACATTCGTACCTGTAACATTCATTCATTGATAATATATTAGTAGAGAATATTTCAGAAATCATAAATGAAATCATTCGAAATTTTTTCAAATTTAGTTGAAAAAAAAAAATTTAGTTTTTTTTTTTTTTCAAAAATTTAGTTAATAAACTGCAAATTGGAATTATCAAATTTAATAGTAGTGCAAAGAATATTTAGGTGTGATATAGTCATTTTCCTAGATTTTTAATGCAAATTTCATAAATAATACTTTTGAAATTTGATCACCTAGGAATTCACTTAGTGCTATCAGAATGATAATGTGATAATTGATAAAAATTCATTTATTATATTTTCTGAAAGCAAAAACTATGAATATATGATTTTGTATAACATATCTAATTTTTAACACCATTTATACATTTATGACACTACTAATACTCTCTCTTGTTAGCTTCAAATTTTTTTTTTTAAATTTAAACAAATCATTATCACTACTTTGTGCTTCTCTGCCATAAGAAGCAGGTGGTCCGGAATAAGTGTTAATTCTGTTTGTTAATTCTGGACCTTTTCTTAATGACTGATCAATAACATCCGGACTTTTAGGAACAGGATACTGACGACGTTGACGATGAGTGATATTCATTGATATCATATCTCTCCAAAGATCAATTGCTTTTAGCTTAAAATAAAATGTGAATTAAACTAATAATTTAAATGAATTAAAAAGTAATTATAAAAGATTTTTTTTTTTCGCAAAATTTATTTTAGGAATTTTAATGAATCTATTATCTATGGAATTTAATTCATTGCGAATTATATCACCTTATCATCTTCACTTTTGACAAAAAAGGTCATATTTTTATGTTATACTAAAAAGTTACAATGATGGTTATCAATTATTATCACCTGGAATGCTTTAATCTCGATATCAAATTCATTTTCTATCATTTGTATTTCACTGGTAATATGCGCAATGGCAATAATTAGACAAAATAATGTAGCAGCACCAATGCCGCATGTTCCAATTAAAATATCTTTCGTTTTTGGCATCTTATATCAGTAAATGCGAGAAATACTGTATGAAATAGTATAAGAAATAATAAGTGATATGATATGATATCATATCATATCATAATCACTTATCATAAACATTTAGCAATAATATACGTACCATAATCATTTATCATAGATTTTAAAGCATAACAGATTAATCATTTTAGAAGAGAATAAAATGAGAAATTATAAGAAAGAAATTAAAATTGAAGAGGTGAATTTCAGCCCACTTAAATGTTTAACAATTGCATTATTAAAATAATAAATTATCAATCAAAGTATGATTAATATTCATTTTGAATTTTAAACTTTTTTTTTTAAATTTCAGACACGATATTGTTGCTACTTTCTTTTAAAATTTTTTTATTAATCATTTTTGTTTATAACATTATCAAACATTTTCATTTTGCATTATGTATTAAATATTATCAGTAATTCAATAAACATATCAGTTGTTTAGCTAATTAGAAAATAAAATTGGATTGGAATTTCATAAATTTCATTAATCATCCAATAATAAGTTTAGAAAGTGTGGAAAGTAAAAATAAAAAATAAAAGAAAAAAGAAAGAAATTGTTACAATTATTATTATTATTATTATTATTATTATTATTATTATTATTATCATTATCATTATCACAATTGCTAGTATAAATTAACCTATTTTATAATTAATAATTTTTCATACAAAAAAATCATATTTGCTACTTTTAAATAAAAATTTATCAGAAATTTCTCTTATTTCATTTTTAAAATAATTATAATAAAAAAGAAAAAAATAATTGGACATTTCGGCAGATTTTCAAAATTTAAACGAAATAGGACAGAAAATGATAGAGTGAGGTCAATTGACCATTCATATATAATAATTGCATTATGTAACAATGATAAAATAAATATGGGTCATTGGGTGGATGAATAGGTTAACAGTAGTTTCTATCTTTTAGTTTAACACAATTTAACATGGTGATAAACTGATTCATCTCTCTTATCAGTTTATCATAGTCAGAGATAAAATGATCAAATAAATAAATTGAATGCATTAATTTATATATCATAAAATCTAAGCAATGTTATTTTAAGATTGTTAATTAATCTTTTTTTTTTTTTTTGTAATTTATAAAAATTTTGTTTGAAGAAAAAAAATTGTAAAATTGGTAGGAGAAAAATGAAAGCTCAATTTTCAAATTACAATTACACGTCAGAATCAATGTAATCAATTCTTACCAAAAAAAAAAAAAAAAACTAGAAAATTTTATTTCTTTTTAAGATTAATTCAAAGGAAGGCATTCTGAGATTTAAATCTTTTTCAAAAATATGATGAATTGATTTTTCAGATAGATTTCGAATGAAAAATTTTGAATGCTAAAATTTTTTCGCAAAAAAATATTTTAGAATAAATTTTTTCGTAGAAAGTTAAAATTAGATTAAAAAAAACAATGTAACTATTGAATATATAATCATATAATTGCATTATTTAGTAATTAAGTGACAAAATATTAAGTGAAATTTCAATTAAACATTTTTTTTTTTGACTCTGATAGTATTATTGAATTGATTAAACAGATTATTCCATAAAGCAATCATAGAATAGAATTTATGTTTCACGTAAATTTACGACTAAAAAAAAGTGAATAGACGTGGTAACGTGAGTTTAATTTGTTCCAATTTCTATACCAATAAACAAATCAAAATAAATAATAAATTTACATGAAATAATTTTTTTTCAAATTTTCTTCAAATTAAGTTTGATTTAAATCTCATTATCAGAAAAAAAGATTAATTTTAGTTAACAGTGAATCTTTAAATTCATTAATTATTGTTGCTGATTTTCGCATAATTGAATTATTTATTTTTTGAGTTAGAATTTGACCTTTCCATTTCTTTTTTCACTTTATTAAATTTATTTGTTGAAAAATAGTAACGGATTTCAAACATAGATTTTAACTTTTGAAGTATTAAAAAGAGATTAATATAATCATCGACCGATTAATTAATCAGTCATTTGCCATTTATCAACATATTAGAGTTGACAAGTTGACACTTTTGAATGACAGCAATTACTAATAAAGCAATCATTAAATTAGTCATTCAGGTAATTTTATTGTTTTTTTCTTTTTTTTAATTTCAATGTTTCATTTTTATTTGTTATTTTTTACTCTTCTAGTGAATTCTATTAGTTTTGATGTTTTTTTTTTTCTTTTTCTTTATCAAATTTTAATTCGTTTATTAGTCATTTCATTCATATTATCATCGTTACATTATATAAAATTATCATTTAAATCTTGCGTAATTCAAGTTAAAAGTTTTTCAATCAAATTTTACAAAATAATGGATTACATTTATTATTGTTTTTGAATTCTAATTGAAAATTTTATTTACGCACTAAAATGATTCAAAAATAATTTTTTATTTATACAATTGTTAGTGTATTTTCTTATTCTCGTTTTCTAGCAAAATGAATTGATGAAAAAAAAAAAAAAAAAAAAAAAGAATCAAACATTTTATTTATTTACAAAAATAAAATTTAGAAAAGTTATCAAAATGCTTTTATAGCAATTGACATTGCACAATTCGATAGATAAATGATCACTTTTTAGGAAAATTTTGCGTCTCTCATTTAATCTTTTTGAGCTATAAATGATATTTCATTTAGTTATATTAATTTGTTTAAATTATTTCTAATTTGATCAATCAAGATTTAATTTTTATTTAATTTGTTAAATATGATACATTGTAACATCTTTATGGCAAGATTTTCATCAAAGAGAAGCATTTGACAATTAAATTCAAATTTGAGTTAATTTTATTGTTTAAAAAAAATGGAAATAGTTTATGAAAGATGAAGATTATAACAAATTTGAAAGACAAAAATGATAAAAGATTATCAGTTCCGATTAATATTTGCTAGCATTTAATCGTTTTTCAGAAATGAGATTTAACAATATCAGTTCTTGCATTTCGTGAAAAATCGAGAAATATCTGAAAATATTATTATAATTTACATTTATTTTGCATATTGATAGAAAATATTTATTTTTTTTTATCATTTATTAATCGAAATATAACAAAACAAAATATTAGTATTATTAGTTATGGAAAGATTATCGATTCATTTATCAGAAAAAAAAAAGTTTTTATTCAAAAAATGTTTTATACACACTTGAAATTATCATTCAATTATCAATTATCAACTGGATGATAAATTCGTAACTTAACTTTCTAAGATGCAAAATGTGCTAATTACCTGATCAAGCGTTGTTTGACTGATTGAATAATCTGCTGCATCTATTAATTCTGCTAGCTTTCCCACTTTTTCAAAGAGCATTGACCATTTCTGTCCTTTCTCTATCATTAATTCATAATTTAAATGTAATATATGCTCATCCTAAAATTACTTATCAAATAATTTTTTCAATAGCAAACATTTATTTGATATTTTCTCAAATGAAAAAAAAAAAAAAAAAAAAAAAAAAGAAATGAAAGAAAATCTTAAAATTATTATGATTTTTGTTTCTTATGAAATAAAAAAATTTTCAATAACCATTAATCGAGCATTAGGAAACATTTTTGTTATCAATTCTTTTGCTGATTCAATTTGATTAGTTGTGTATAATCGTATTGCTAAGCTATATCCACTACCATATCTGTAAATAATTAATTAAATTTGATAAATTTTACTATACTGATTATTAATCGTATAAAATTAGATTTTTTTTTTAAAAAAAAAAATGAATCATTTAAGTACTATTTTGATAGTTATTCCACAATTATAATTTCAAGCATTCGATAAATTTTACTGATAAAAATTGAATAAGTTATTAACGTGTAATTGTTGAAATTTGTTGATTATAAGTGATAAATTTAATTAACTTTAATCAATGAATTAATTTGCTATACACTTAATTAATTTGCTTAATGTACCATACGTTTAATTAATTAAATTAATTTAATTAATGAATAAATTTTAGCTAACTTTGACTTAATATGCTGCGTACTGCCAAGACATCGGAATTCACCGTTTGTCATAATTGCAATTTGTGTACAAAGCGCATCACATTCCTCCATACTATGTGATGTAAGCACTAAGGCAGTATCACTTTCTCTGATCTTCAATAATTATCATTATCATTATCACTAATACTATCGCTATCATTATCATCATTATTATTATCACTAACACTAACATTATCATTATCGTTATCACCATCATTACCACTATCATTATGACTAACATTATCATTATCGCCATTGTTATTGTGACTAACGCTATCATCATCAGTAACACTATCATTATCACTATCACTAAATATTTCACTTAGATAAAATATATGCATAATATGCATATAACAAATGAAAAAGTAAATTTTACAGAAAACATGCTTTTCTTGTTTTTATACTGTAACAATAAATTTTAGATTGTTTAATAAAAAATTTATTTATCAAAAATAAAAAAGAACAAAAATAAATTTAATAAATACTAAATTGTTTAATGAAAAAAGAGATGGAATGAATTAATTTAATGAAATTTTATTATTTTCATCAAAACATTCGTTATTTTTCATAATCAATTGTTGACATTTGAACTTACTTTTGATAAAATATTCCAAATGATACGACTTGCTTTTGGATCAACTCCAGTTGTTGGCTCATCCAATAGTAGAACATCAGGTAATGTTAGCAGAGCAACACCAAGACTTAAGCGCCGTTTATTGCCACCAATGAAATTTCAAATTGTTAGTCTCTTTTTTATTTCCCTTTTTTGCTAATTAAAATTTTGACAGTGAAAATGTTAAGAAATGAAATTTATCTCAAATGATGTCAAAAATGACTAAAAACGTTTTTTTTAAGACAAAAAAAAAAGAGTTTGAAATGTTATCGAATGTTGAAAGAAATATTAAATATATTTTTCAAAAAAGAAAAGAAATGTTTGAAGTTTTTTAAAAAAAAAATTCATTGATTATATATTTAATATATATTTAAATATAGATATTTAAATATCATTGTATCTTGCGAGAATGCCTCAATTACATATAAAACAAAATTAGCAATCATTGCTGATTATCATTATCATGCATTTAAATATAAGCAATACACTAATTTAAGTATTATTTCCTTTTAGTTATAAAATACACAATATTTTCTCTCTTATCAATATTTCATTATTTCAATTAGTAAAACGAATCGTTCGTCATCTATGTTAGTTGTCAAATCTAACACATAAAATTTACCATAATTAATCCAAAAATACTTGAAATTTCTATATTTAAAAAATTTTTATAATTAAAAAAATCAAAAAAAAACTTTCCAATGCATATATTCATATTAGCTTCAACTTTAATAATAAATAATAAAAGAAGTGGCATTTTCTCATAAGGAAAAATAAATAAATAAAAGTTAAATGATAGAGAAAAAAAAGATGGATGATAGTAATATGTATTTCATTCGCATTAAATTATAATTGACATTTCTCAAATACATCCATTATTTTATTAGTTTTTTTTTTTTATTTAGTAAATAGACTTATTATAAAATAATCAATCATTCATAATTATTTCATTCTGTCTTTGACATAAATAAATTAAAATATTCCATTTCTTCTTCGTTTTTTCTTTTCCATTTTTTTTTTCTTTCCTTTTTTGATAAATTTGAAATTAATTAAATTTTTCTAGTCATGTTTTGCTAGTATACGTAGTAATGGTCGTAATTTCATCCACCATTGTTCCATCGGTAAACGATGAGCAAAATCAACATCATTCATTAATTCTTCCACCGGTGTTAAGCAAACATATTTACCAATTAATCCTTGTAATGTTGCTGTACCCGAATGATAAACATTTGTCTTTTTATATTCTTTCATTTGTCCAAGAAGATGTACCACTGCTCGTGCACCCATTTTAGCAGCAAAAAGTCGATCAAATGGTGATGGATTGCCACCTTGTTGTGTATGTCCTAATATATTTGTACGTGTTGTAAAAATACCTTTACCTTCTTCGGTAAATAATTGTCGTATAAATTCCGATGTATAATTATCAGATGCTTTTTCATTACGTACAATGAGATAACGTTGTGCGCCAGTTTTCATCTTTTCCGCAATAATATTAATATCATTGATTAATTCGTGGACATTAAATGCTTCTTCATAAATGTATGCAGCATCAGCACCACTAGCTAATGCTGATAATGTTGCTAAATAGCCACAATAATTTCCCATTGTTTCAATAATAAATACTCGTCGTTTAGTACCAGTTGCTGATTGCTTAATTTTATCAATCATTTTACAAATTTCATTTAATGATGTATCAGCGCCAAGTGTAAAACCTGTCCCTGGGACATTATTATTAATTGTTGTTGGTAAAACACACATTGGAATACGAAATGGTGGAAAATGTTGACGATTTTGTGCAAATATTAAGCATGTTTGATATGCATTAAAACCACCAATTATAATTAAACTATGAATGTTAAAATGTAGTAAATTTTTTGCCATTAATGGTAATGTGTCAGTGGTTGGAAGAATTGGTTGTGAGCCAAGGAATGAGCCACCTTCAGCTGACCATAATGTCACATCATTCCATTCCATTTTTTGAAATTGTCCTGATGCTAGGCCTTCATTCGAATTATAAATACAGTAAGGTGTACAACCATGTAGAATTGCTGTTCGTACACAACTCATCACAGCTGCATTACAGCCAGCACAAGGTGAGCCAACATTCATTATAGCAATATTAAAACCCTCTGATATTGGCTCATGTTTACGAATTTTTGATAATGTTCGATACATTTCAACGTTACGTCGAAAACTACGTCCACGTAACTTTAATGCCATTGCCCAGTCTTTTATATCCATTGCCGTTTTAACAGCTTTTGTACGTTCCACACATTTCATCAATGGTATACGTACCATTTGATTACCATCAATTGAGACAACACATGGCTCTGATTCAGCATTCATTTCCATAAGTGCTATTGTCGCTTCTGCGCCCATTCGACAACCTAACAAACGATCAAATACCGATGGACTACCACCACGTTGAATATGTCCAAGAATTGTTATCCGTGTATCATATTTCATTTTCTTCTTGATTACATCTCGAATCATTGTTGATGTTATTGCTGTACCATTATGATCAATTGCGCCTTCAGCAACAATTACAATATTAACACGATTGCCATCATCGCGCATTTGTTTTAATTTTTTGCATAAAATACTTTTCCAATGAGGTGGTGGTGGCCATTCCGGAATGAAACAAAAATCAGCATCCAATGCTAATGATGCAGCTAATGCTAAATAACCACAATTACGTCCCATAACCTAAAAGAAAGAAAGAAAAAAAAAAGTTTAGATTTAAAAAATTTAATTATTTAATTATAAAATCTAATTGCTGTTAATTCCTCTTTCTAAAAAAAAAAAAAAAAATATTAGAAAAAATTACCTCAATTACAAAACATCGTTGATGACTGTGAGCAGTTGAACGAACTGAATCAACAGCTTCTGTAATTCGATGTAATGCAGTATCTGTTCCAATTGTCATATCAGTGCCACAAAAATCATTATCAATTGAGCCAACAATTCCAACAATTCGAATTGCTTTACATTTTTCAGCATCTTCTTTGCTAATTAATTTTGCATTTAATAATTCTTTAACTAATCCAGACCATTCATTTCGAAATGTATTAGCACCTGTTAATGAACCATCACCACCAATACATACCAATGATGTGATACCATGCCGGATTAAATTTTCCGCTGCTTTTAAACGTCCTGCTCGTTCACGAAAATCTTTGCAACGTGCTGAACCAATTATTGTACCACCTTTTTGAATAATATCCGAAACTGTATTCCAGTTAGCTTCTCGAATAAATTTACCACCATCAACCATACCTTGATAACCTTCATGAATGCAGAATACTCGTGCACCCAAGTAAAGACCAACTCGAACGATTGCGCGTACCGCACTATTCATACCTGGTGCATCACCACCGCTAGTAAACAAACCCATAATTTGACCTTTGTATTTACCTTTCGTAATAACTGATCCTTCATGACCATTAATTGCTTTAATTTGAAATTCTATCTCAGAATTAACATCAGTTGCAGCAACATCAGGTAATTCGTTTATCACTTCTTCAATCTCACTCATCAATTTCTAATTGTCACCTATCGTTAATGACAAATGAGAGCTTAATAATTGTGTCACAACAATTCACAAGTTAAAATAGTCTACAGATTAAAAATTCAAAAGTAATGCTTTATATAGCTTATATCTAAAATAAAGAATATATATATTATTTATCTAGCTATTTTAGTAATTTTTGAATTTTTGAAACTTAATTTTTTAAAATTAAAAAAACAAAACTAAATATGTAAATCATAGTTAATGACAAATTTTCACACTTTAAAAATTATTCAAATTATCCTAAAATGTATGCTAATTCAGTACCTCCGATTATGCATAATTTAATTTCAGCATCAGAATATAGAAGTTATTAATTTTTCTTTTTGAAGTTAATAAATTTACTTATTGTACATTTCGTTTATTTTCTATTATTCGTAGTCAAGTCGAATTGTAGGAAATTACAAAAATTTTGCATAAACCATTAAGAAATTGTAAATTGTACAATAAAGTTGAATAAAGTTAAGATTATTACGATATAATAAGGATATGATAATGATGATAAGAGAAAAGGATATGATAGTACTAATTAAAGATTATATTGAATGATACTTAAAATTTTATTATAACTAAGAAAGTGATAAGTAAAACTAACCTGTATGTTTTAATTAAATTATTTTTGTATTTGTTAAGTGCGACAGCATCAATCATTGTATCAGTAATTCGCATGATGTCACATTCTTTGACACCACGCAATCGTGCAAACATCTGTAACGTTTCTTGGCCAGTCATTTCACCAATAAGTGCATCAAATTGTGGACAGTATCCAATGTGATCATATGCCTTTAAAAAAAAAAAAAAAAAAGAAAAGAAGGAAAAATTACAATTAAAAATAATTTTATTTATTTTTTTGTGAGAAAAAAAAAAATTTTATAACTGAAAGATAATTTTATTTCTTTGTAAGAAAACAATGAAAAGATTAAACTTAAATTAAATGATGTATTTCAGAATTTAATAATGAGGAAATAAATAATTTAATACATATTTTACTTTCATATAATTTATTATTTAGTATAAAAAATAAATAATAATTCAAACTTTTCTCCATTCAGTTTGAATATTAAAACCATAAATATATGCATCACCAGCACAACTTTTACTTTCACCAGTTAACATCTGAAATGTTGTCGTCTTACCAGCTCCATTTATACCTGAAAATAAAATTTTCTTTTTTTTTTTTTTTGAAGTATCAAACATTTAATTGAATTGAATTTAATTAATATTCATATCAAAGTAGTAAGTCTTATACAAAAAATATTATATATATCAAATATTTATGCTTTTAATATTCAAAATGAATGGAGAAAAGTTTGAATTATTTTTTATTTTTTTATTTTTTAGATAGAAAGAAAGAATAAATATATATATAAAATATAAAATTTCATTCAAAATTACACACTTCATATCAATATTGATTTATTTGAATAAATACTTTCAATGTTTATTAATACTATTAATTTAATATTTTAATTTGAAAACTTTATTTGAAAAAAAATAAATAAAATTTATACAATGCAAACCTAACAAGCCGAAGCATTCTCCTTTTGCAACATGAAAATTAATTTTATTAACAGCGTTCACATTTCCATACCATTTTTCAAGATTACGTACGATCACTGACGCATCATTATTTTTCATTTCACGTATTTTTTCTCTTTCCATCATAACATCCATATCTTCATTACACGTTTGAAAAATTTCCGTATTAGCTATCTGTTAAAAAAAAAAAAAAAAAAAAACAAACAAACAAAAAATTGAAAAAAATTTGAAGAAAATAACTTATTTATCATTTATTTATTTCAAGAAAAAAATTCTAAATTTTCATTATAATTTAAAAAATGCATTAATAATGAAATTATTGTAATTGAAAAGAAAGAAAAATTAAATGAAATTATACAAATTTCTTCACAATAATTTTGTCATTTTTAAATATAAAATATTTCGTACCTAAATTTTTTATTTATTAATTTACTAATAAACGTTTAGGGATTTTATCACTTCTTTAGTACGACAGAAAATCATTAATTGAGAAAAAACAAATCGATTCCATTCATAATTTATTTCGATCCTTTTATTTTATTTCATTTTTTTTTTTTTTTTTTGAAGAAAAATAAAATATAATTAAGTATGCGAGATATTTATTAACTTGAAAAAAAACAAAGATAAAAAAAAAATTCAAAATTTTGTAGTATTAAAAAAAAGAAAGATTAATTAAAAGAAAATCATATTATATTATAAGCAAATAATATACTTTCCTGATTTTTAATTACAATTAGTAAGGTAATTAACCACTAACCTTATTAGTAATACTTATTTTACCATCTCTGTTCAACAACAATCGTTTAATAATTCCAATAAAATTAATTTCAGATGCAGCAATGGCAAGCCAAAAAATGATTGAATGAAGAATTAAAAAAACAATCATTAATGCCATTCCCATTTTACCCGTACTTATCAACATATTATCAACATAAAGTCGTTCTAAAAAAAAAAAATTGCAAATTTTTTAGTCTCAAAAATATTATAAAATAATTAATTAATTGGAAATTTATATTTAAAAACAAAAATAAAGTTAACTCTTGCAGATCATTACTATATTATTGTTTGTTTAATCATTAATTAGTGCTATAATCTCCAAATAATCTCTGTCAAAATAGCATAAATAAATTTTTGATAATCACTATATCATAGTTTTATCATTTAATCTTTTCTTTTTTATAATTTGAAGATTTATTTAAATAATGCCATCTCATTAATCATTATGTAGGCCTTACCAACATAACCACACAAATAAATTAATTAATTAATATCGTTTAATTTTCCACTCCATAAATCCTTCATTCCTTCTTTCCTTTTCTTTTTCTAAATTTTTAATCCATCGTAAATTAATATAATTATAAAATTATTATTTGGAAAAGAAAAAAAAATTAACCATCGCTATTACCACAACATTCCTTTGCAATCTTACGAATTTCATCAATTGAGCAATCCACTATTTTGCATGCTGCATGCGTATGCTCGTTTGTGTAAGCTTTCGAAAAGCACAGACTTAAATTATAAGTGGGAAATAATAATGACAAAATGATTGAAAGTGTATTCGCCGTATCTTTGCTACTTGCTTTTTCAACAATCGAAACAGCAACCGCACCGATCATACCTGTTTGAGAGATTGATAAGATAAGGAAATGAAATTAAGTACAGAAAATTAAAAGAAATCATTCATATTTGATGTGATAAACACTACTTAAATAAATAACGATGCTAATATGAACGACTGATAACAGATAGTCATTGCTAATATGAACGATTGATAACAGGTAATCATTGCTAATGTGAACGATTGATAACAGGTAATCATTGCTAATATGAACGATTGATAACAGATAATCATTGCTAATGTGAACGATTGATAACAGATAATCATTGCTAATATGAACGATTGATAACAGATAATCATTGCTAATATGAAGGATTGATAACAGATAATCATTGCTAATGTGAACGATTGATAACAGATAATCATTGCTAATATGAAGGATTGATAACAGATAATCATTGCTAATGTGAACGATTGATAACAGGTAATCATTGCTAATATGAACGATTGATAACAGATAATCATTGCTAATATGAACGATTGATAACAGATAATCATTGCTAATATGAAGGATTGATAACAGATAATCATTGCTAATGTGAACGATTGATAACAGGTAATCATTGCTAATGTGAACGATTGATAACAGATAATCATTGCTAATATGAACGATTGATAACAGATAATCATTGCTAATATGAAGGATTGATAACAGATAATCATTGCTAATGTGAACGATTGATAACAGATAATCATTGCTAATATGAACGACTGATAACAGATAGTCATTGCTAATATGAAGGATTGATAACAGGTAATCATTGCTAATGTGAACGATTGATAACAGGTAATCATTGCTAATGTGAACGATTGATAACAGGTAATCATTGCTAATGTGACAAGCATTACTACTACTAAATAATCATTTGATACCGCTAAAAAAAGTTTTCTAATTGCTTTGAATATTTTTCGATCAATGATTAATTGATAAAATCAATCGATAATTATAAAGAGAAATTTTAAATTAGATAAGACAATTTAAATTATACATTTTTAAAAGGAAAATGATAAATTACTAAAAATGAATAATTTCACTAAAATTGATAATTTTTTCAAAGAAATAAACAAAAACCTGTGACAAAATTATAAACACATATGGTAGCATTGCCATTTGTTGGTGACTTGAACATCGTTGAACACCAATAAATAAATGGTAATTCAGCCCAGGCATATAGTAACATAATCACATATACTGTTAGTGTCACCGTACTGCGAGTTGTAAATTCCTAAATGTTTGAAAAATATTTCTAAAAAATTGAATTAATATTAAAATATGAAATTGAACTAATTTAACTAACTTTTATATCAGCTATAAAAAAGACAGCAATGCAAAGTGTTGCAGGTATGAGAAAAACTGTGATATCCCATAGAAATGCTGTCAACCAATATGTCCAATGTCGTAATCCATACATTATCTATAAAAAAAATAATTAAATTCTTTTTTTTTTTTTTTTTTTGTGATAAATTCAGAAATTAATATCAATTGCTGATTTTTTTTTTTTTTTTTTTTTTTTTTAGCAAATTGTTCTAAGCTGAAAATATAATATTGAATTAGACAATAATTTTAAATAAAATTATTTGGAATTGTTTAGTATGTTTAGAAATAAAGGAATAAATAATATCAAATAAATTAATTTTCATTACTTTCTCCTATTCTTATCACAGCAAATGTTTATTCCTGAAAATATTTCATTTTTTGTGAATTTCAAGAAATTAATGCAATACCTGCATGTGCTTGGATTTCGTGGTTCTCTCATAAATGATAAAGTTGATAAAACTTGCAACCACGGCGCTTAGTGACATAATAGCT